TTAATGGCTTCCTATCATCTGCGGGATATAGTCCAAAATCCTTGAGGTAAAATAGTGTTGGTTAAGGGCAGGCTTAGAGCCAGCTAGACCTGAGTTGGAGTTTGAGCTTAGAGATTCTAGCTGTGTGATTTTGGACAGGTTGCTTTACCTCTCTGAATCTGTTTTCTCTTCTGAAGGTTGTTGAGAAGATTAAGAGAGATAATCCTTATAAACTGCTTCACATTGTATTGAGTACACACATAGATATTTAGTAGGTGATTACTACTATTAACATGGCACTCAACAACCTTCATAGTTTAGCCTCTCCCTGCCTTTTTAGCCTCACCTATGCCACATCATTCTATTCTAGTATCGCTTCCCTAACACCCACTTTTCTGTCATGCTTCCATGCTGTTCCTTCTCCCGAGAACCCCTTTCCTTTCTTAACTACCTGGCAAAATTATAACTCTGTAGGACAATGAAGTCTTCCTGCACACCCATTCGGTTCTCCTTTTCATAGTCATGGAAACAACGCCTTCTTGATTCTTTAGAATAGTTCCAATCTGAAATAGTCTGTGGTATTGTCAAGCCTTTATGTTCATGTTTATTCCAATTAAAAAATATATTTTTATTGATTTTTAGAGAGAGAGGAAGGGAGAAGGAGAGAGAGAGAAAGAAACATCCATGTGATAGTGGAAAATCAATCGGCCACCTCCTGCATGCCCCCATGGGGGATTAAGCCCAAAGCTGGGGTTATGCCCCTACCAGGAATTCAACTGGCAACCTTTCCATGCACGAACTACACCCAGCCAACTGGGCCACAGTGGCCAGCGCTCTTCCCATTTTTTTTTGATTCAGAAAATCAATAAAACCATATGTCAAACCATAGCATTTGTACATACTCTATGATGGCACCTATTACATTTTATTCTAATGATTTGTGTCTGTCTTTCTCATTAGCCTGTGGTCTTTTTGAGGCCAGGAACTTTATCTGTGTATACCAATAACTCTCATAGTGTGTGGGACATTGTTGGGGCTAAATAATGTTAATTCAGTGAATGAATTAATGAAAGACTAATTTAATGATTAGGTACCCATTCTCTTATTTTGCCTCTTTGTTGATCTTGGCAGCCCCTAGTCCCTCCATTCTGACCTTAGGAACTATTTTAAGACATGAAGTTCACTTTAATAAGACTGTGTGTGTGTGTCCCTATTTTGAGATAACTGGATTGCCCCCCTTTTCCAAAGTCTATGTTGGTGAACTCCCTTTTCCATTTCCTTGGAGTCACCAAGCCAACATGTCCTGCTCTGCCCCTTACTTCCACACCCTGTGACATCATGAGGTTCTGCTATGCCAGGAATGTTACTGGGCAAGAGTGGCTCCATGACTCAGAGCACATCAGCAATTGAGTGGGAGTGGGAGCAGAGACAATGTTTAGGGAAAAAAGATGGGAGGCACCACCAGCCAAACTTTTTAAATTTTACCTTTATCCATTCATATACTCAGGAGGCAGTTACTCTGTGCCAGGCACAATTCTAGATCCTTGAGATATAAAAATGGATAAGATGTAATCTTTGCCCTATATGTTCACAGTCTTATGAGGGAGATAAGTAAACACACTGACATAATACAAGTAGCCATTTTTGGTCCATAAAAGAGAAACAAAGACCCGAAAGAAGCTGCAAAATGCAGATCTTCTTTTGGGATGATTCATAGATCAAATCCCAAGGAGAAAACCCCCTGTTTGACCTACCGCCATAGTGAGTCCATTATTGGTCCATTTCCAGTTTTCAAATCAGAAACAACTTTACTTCTACAGCTGATTTCTTTCTTTTTTTAACTTTTAAAACATTTATTGATTTTTAGAGAGAGAGAGAGAAGAAGGGGGAGAGAGGGAAACATCAATTTGTTTCACCTATTTGTGCATTCATTGGTTGATTCTTGTATGTGTTCGGTCAGGTGATGGAACCCCAAACCTTGGCGTATCAGGATTTGCTCTAACCAACCGAGTACCCAGCCAGGACTCTACAGCTGATTTCTAAAATAACTCAGGAAATGGTAGCAACTCCATGACTTTTATAGAAACAAAAGTAATTTATTCAACAAATATTTATTGAATATCTATGAGCCAAATCCTATGCTAGACAGTGTAGGCCCACCTGTCTAGTTTTTGTACTATTTAGTTTGGTGGAGGGGGCGGGTGTAGGTATAGGCAATCATAAAATACTTCAATGCTACACAATTCCATTGCTATGGAATTACAAATGCAATCTGATCATTGGAAGTTTGTCTACCCTTCACTACCCAAAGGAGAATGAATAATCCAGCAGGTGGCAGCAGGGAATCTTAATGAGGGAAAGGTAGAAGGCAGTAGTCAGTGTCTAGGGCTATTTTCTGGCCAGTGAGGTCCTAGGTTCCTTTTTGAGGACCCAGAAAGAATCGGGTAGAGAATAACCCGGCCATTTTTGGGGCTACCGAACCTAGGATTTTTTTATTCCTCTTCACTTATTCATCCCACAAATAATTGTTGAGATCCTACTATGTACAGAGTCACATCACCTGAGTAGCTTGAGGATACATGAGTGAACCAAAGACAGTGGTTGTTCTCCAGGAGGTCAGTCTCCCCAGGGAAAGAGGTCTTCAGAGTTCACAACCTCCACGGTACTTTGTTAAAAATGAGCAGGGTTAATACGAAGACTAGACTAGAATGGAGAACTTCTGTGTGTCTCCATGCCCTTTGGAATATAGATAACAGAGAGGATAAGGGCTTGGATCACGGGAAGACTATAATATGGTTTGATCACCTCCCTTTTTGACAGGTCTTCATTCACTTATAAGATATTTCCTGAATTCTGTCACTGTGCCCAGCATTTGGCTTGAGGCAAAATGTGGGTCTGTTTCAAATGTCACTCGGAGGAAGACAAGACATGCATGCACCTTAAACTAAATAGTAAACAAGGCAGTAGAGCCAGAAGGATACTTGGTGGCATGTGATGTTTTGCGAATTTGACTGCTTAAAGTCTCTCACTTGACATTAGCGAGTCTGTCGGGAATTCTTCTTTAAGCTGTAAAACTGAGAGGACCCGTCGAGCCAACTCCTAATGAGCATAGGCAACGCAACCCAGTTCTTTAAAAGAGCCGAACTAACTTGACCCCAGCGAGCCACCATAGGGAGTGTCGGCCCGGCGTGGAGTCGTTAGGCCCAGAGGGACCTGCATCATGTGACCAGGAACAGCCTCCCGATTGGCTTTGCTCCTTTCTGGGGTACTCCCCACCCCCATTGAGTGGGATGGAACGTGAGGTTGGGCGCATGCGCAGTGCCTGGATTTCGCTGGCTGCCGGGAGTGGAACGGTGGGGTTGGCAATAAACAGGCTGTGGCTAGGAGTAGGGGGAGGGGGCGTTCGCTCTGCCGGGACTTCTCACGCCCCCTTGTTGCTTTAGGTGTGGTTTGGTGCGGACGCGGGGTCCCGGCAGCCAGCTGGAGCCTATTCCCTTGTGAAAGGGAAAAGCAGCTCCCGCGGAAAGCGGTTCAAGTTGCAGGGAGGGTACGAGACGTGGATTGTCCCCATGCCAGACAAGTGGTGCGGCCCTGAGCTGGTCCCGGAGCCTGCCCGGCGTGTCTGAGAAAGGCCTCGGAGGGGCGAGAAGGTAGCTGTCGGAACGCAGTTTTTGTGAAGACGGGAAGAGTCGACTCGGAGAAGAGGAAGAGCCGGATTGAAAAGGAGTGAGGCCACTGAGGGGGAGGGGGCTGCCAAGATGGCGTCGGCCTCTGGGCCGTCGGCGGCCGGGTTTTCATCCGTGGATCCCGGGGGTCCTTCCTGCACCTCGTCCTCAGGTAATCAGGGCGGGGCGTGGACGGGGGGCTGATGACGGCCGTGCGGTGGGAGCAAGAGCGAGACCTGGGAGGGCACCTGTAGCTGGGGAGGTCCGAGGTTGTCGGTAAGGAAAACAGGGTTCTGAATAGGCTTTCCGAGTGGGCAGGGGATTCTGAGGAAAAGATTGTTTAAGTGAGGAAAGGGGAGCTGTCAAAAACGTTGTCTGTCTTGGAGGAGGCCGAGTTGAGGACTTGAAAGAAGTAGGGTCAGGAGGGGTGGAGATGGACAGTGGGGATAGGAGGGGAACAGCAGGGAAATCGAAGGGAGTAGAGAAAAGTAAAGTGAATGGAGGCCTTACAGATAGGAATTACTTAGTGTGAGAGGCAGGTAGAATCCCAGTTGGTTCTGGAGTTAATTGAAAATGTAGAAGAGAAGCCTTGGAATTGAAGAGTGATGGGGTGCTTCCGATCGCTGGGGGTTGAGGGAATTGGGAGTTTTGTTGGGGGTGGGAGTTGATGGAAACGTCTTTTTCCCTGGAGACTCCCCCTAATGCGTCATTCCTTCTCACTGCGTGCCCCCTCCCTCCCCCTCCCCTCCCCCTCCCCTCCCCCTCCCTCCCCTTTCCCCTCCCCCTCCCTCTCCCTTTCCCTTTCCTCTCCCCTCCGCCTCCCCCGCGGGCGCTCGCACAGGACACATTTTATCAAACATCCTCCCTTGATGACTCCTAGCTCTAGAGACTGACCACCTTCGGGAAGGAATGGGCAGTATTGAAAGAAGACTGAAGAATGTGGAAAATTAGGGTTAAAATACCCAAAAAATAGATGGAGAAGGTGGAGTGATGACGTCTGGAGTTGCAGTGGAGGCTGAGAGGGGTGATGTTGGTAATGAGGGGGAGGCTCTGGGTGCTGGGGGGACGTTGCATAATAGGAAATGGACTGGCAGGATGCTTAGGTGGCATCAGGAAAGCGGCCCTTGGAGAAGAGAGCCAGGCATGTAGCTCAGAGCAGGGAGCAGCTATTGAAGATGGAGAAAAGCTACAGATGGTGTGTGGGAGGGAAAATGGGTGGTGGTGTCGCGTGTGTGGGGGGAGCTTGAGTCAGAAACTGCTCCAGAGCTTCCATCAGAAACGTCTGCTGTTCCGCAGTGACTGTTGCCTCCGCGCTGAACTGGATGGGCCACCAGAGGTTGGATGCTTTACTTGAGCTGCTGACATTTCCTTAGACCTGAGATTGAGTTCTTGCCATTTTGAAATGGCTAAGTAGAGGGTTCCACCTTTCATATTCCAGCTCAGTTGAGTTAATACTGGTCACAAATATCTTCTTCATAAGCTGCAGTTTTATTTATGTACATCTATTTTTAGTTTCTTGAGAGGTAATTTTTGCCTTTCTTGTAAAAGCATTAGAGAGCCAAAGCAACTCATGTTGCATCTAAGTGTGAAGAAGGATAAAGTAAAAATGACAGGTTTTTTAATATATATATATATATATATGTAGTAGGCCCTTAATTTAAAACCTCTTTTCCCCCTTCAATCCAAGAAAGAAGAATGGTCATGTGTGGTCCTTAAACTTCTTACCTATTAAGTCAGGTATTTTCTTTTTTAGAAACTGGGTTAATTTTTTTTTAACCAGGTTAATCTTAAAAGCCATGTGTTTATATTCCAGAATCTGACTCAACCTCCAGCTCAGGGAAGTATTGGCCAGGTGGACAGATGTAGGAGTAAAAGGAAGTATTTCTTTGTCTCTTACTGATACATCTTCCTCCTCTTCCATCTCTACAACTTCAGATAGTCCTGTCTTTTTTATTTATTGTTTTTTACTTAGTCATTGATTTTAGAGAGAGCGAGGAAGGGAGAAAGAGAGAAAAACATCAATTTGTTGTTTCACTTATTTGTACAGTCATTGGTTGATTCGTGTGTGTGCCCTGCCACGAATCAAACCCACAACCTTGGCATATCGGGATGGCACTCTACCTGGCCAGGGCAGTCCTGTCTTTTTTAGATGTCACTATTTGATATTTTTGTATGTTTTTTGCCAGATCCTAAGGCTTGCAGTTAGTAATTCAGATCATATAAATGTTTTTTCCTATTGTGCTTTCACCAGAAAGTCAAATACTAGGTTTCAAAACCTTGACTACTATGTTGATATCTGAAGTCAAGGTGTAAATATGTCCAAAATAAATAACTTTAGAGTACTTTTTTGTATTTTCATTTTTTACACCCACCTTCTCTGCTTCTTTGGCAAATATTGAAACAGTTGGATTAAGAAATTAAGAAAAATTTTGTTCATAAACATTCTTTTTTTAAAAATAATTTTTATTGATTTCAGAGAGGAAGGGAAAGAGAGATAGAAACATCAATGATAAGAGAGAATCATTGATCGGCTGCTTGCACGTCCTCTACTGGGGATTGAGCCTGCAATCTGGGCAAGTGTCCTTGACTGGAATCGAACCCGGGACCCTTCAGTCCACAGGCGGATGCTCTATCCACTAAGCCAAACCAGCTAGGGCGCATAAACATTCTTGAAAACATTATCGGTTATTGTGTGCAAATTTGCAATGTTCACTTTTTGTTCTGCAACATTGCCTTTTGTGTATCTGCATTTTCACTTAGGTTTGGGCTTAGCAAATTTAATGTAATACAATATTTCATTTTAAGGATATGTTTTTGAAAAGTATAGGATGTTTGATTCTTTTTTTTTAAAATATATTTTATTAAAAAAAAATATGTTCTATTGATTTTCTACAGAGAGGAAGGGAGAGGGATAGAGAGTTAGAAACATCGATGAGAGAGAAACACCCATCAGCCGCCTCCTGCACGCCCCCCACTGGGGATGAAACCAAGGTACATGCCCCTGACCGGAATCGAACCTGGGACCCTTGAGTCCGAAGGCTGACGCTCTATCCACTGAGCCAAACTGGTTCTGGCATTTTATTGATTTTTACAGAGAGGAAGGGAGAGGGATAGAGAGTTAGAAACATCGATGAGAGAGAAACATCAATCAGCTGCCTCCTGCACACCCCCTAGTGGGGATGTGCCCGCAACCAAGGTACATGCCCTTGACTGGAATCGAACCTGGGACCCTTCAGTCCGCAGAGGCTGACCCTCTATCCACTGAGCCAAACCGGTTAGGGCAAATATATTTTATTGATTTTTTTTACAGAGAGGAAGGGAGAGGGATAGACAGAAACATCAATGAGAGAGAGACATCGATCAGCTGCCTCCTGCACACTCCCTACTGGGGATGTGCCCGAAACCAAGGCACATGCCCTTGACTGGAATCAAACCCGGGACCCTTCAGTCCACAGGCCAACTCTCTATCCACTGAGCCAAACCGGTCGGATGTTTGATTCTGATGCAAAAGAGGCTGTAAGAATCAGTTTTATTTGTGATTAGAGGATAGTGGTGTTCTGGATGGTACCTGGAGAAATATAGGACATTGGCAGGAGTAAGTGATGGTTTATGATTTCCTAAATTGTTAAAAGCTGGAAATTCAAAGAAAGGATGTGTGTGTGTGTGTGTGTGTGTGTGTGTGAACCATCCTAAAACCAATTTATTTTTCTAGATGCTTAGCTGAATTCACTTAAATTTTGGTGAAATTCTGAATTCTAAAACTAAAAGTAAGATTGCCTGGCAATGTTGAAAATGGATACAAAATAAGAATGTCAGGATTCAGGGCAGAATGATGTTTTAAATAAGCCACTCATAACCGTTGGAGGCTCAAAATCTGTTGGCATTCAAATTAGGAAGGACAGGTGATTTAAAACAGTTGTTCCCTGCCAGTATTAACCCCTGTCTTGATTATTTTGCCATTAAGTCAGAGCTGGTCTTTTATGCTGACAAGTGAAATGCCAAGGGTAGAGCAAACCATATGCTCTGGGTGATGTTTGACATCTTTTCCCATTGGTGTAATTACCATGTTTGGATTTTGGGGGAAGCAGTTATAAATGAATATCAGCTTTCGGTAGCCATCAGTGTATTCTTGCTCTTAAACTTTGATTGTTAATAAAAGGTGATGCAGTTTGCCATCTACTGTCAGCTGTTTGGAGAGTAAAAGAAATTTATTCCTTCTCTTCCTTTGTTCCCATACTCATTTGGACGGTGGTAGCACCACTTAAAAAATAAAATCAGCCCTGATAAAGTGCTGTTGACAGTGTGACCATCTAATTTGACCAGTCCATCAAAAACTTGAAATTCAGCCACTGAGTCCCCTTTGTACCGCCATGAAGGCAGTAAAGTATTTCTGCTTTTGAGAATTGATTTGAAGTCAGTGGAGGAGTTAGAAAGTAAAGTTAGAATGCTAAGGTGTACACTGCTCCCCTGAAATAAGAGCTGTGTGATAAAATCACGTGACTCTCCAAGAAAAATAACTTGAAACCTTAGAAGATCGTGAACTTCTAATTCCTTTTGATTCACACCAGAACATTTCTGAAATTATCATCCTTATGACATGATTTTATCATAAGCACAATGATTTGGAGATAACTTTACAGCTTCTTTCCTGACTTTTTCTTAACTACTGAGGGAAACCTCAGAGGACACAGGATTGAAGCATTTTTAAAAATATATATTTTATTGATTTTTTACAGAGAGGACGGGAAAGGGACAGAGAGTTAGAAACATCGATGAGAGAGAAACATCGATTAGCTGCCTCCTGCACACTCCCCATTGGGAATGTGCCTGCAACCAAGGTACATGCCCTTGACCGGATCGAACCTGGGACCTTTTGAGTCTGCAGGCCGATGCTCTATCCACTGAGCCAAACCGGTCAGGCAGGATTGAAGCATTTTTGCCTAGGACCTTGGTTCTGGTGAGTTTGTTCTTCCTAAGCAGGGCCCCACCAGTAAATTGTGCTGTAATCTGATAAGTCCAGATGGTAGGGATTTTTGTTGAGGGTTTTTTGTCTGTTTTCTTTGTGTACAGTGTTAAGCTGTTTGTAGGCTGATCCCTTTCCCTTCAATTCTTCTATACTGGTGAAAAGTAATGCAACGTAAACCAGTTTACAGGAGTGAGTAAACGGAAATTTGGGAATATAAAGATAGAACAGACTGTCATGTAGTCAGAATATCTCTAAGTTCTATTCGCTTGATATTTTATAAGGAGGAAGAGATTTTTCTGTTTGCTTTCTTTTTAGGGGGTTTTGACTACCCTACGCCCTCCTTTTTTCTTTTGTCCCCTTGGTAGATTCTGATATCAGAATGTCATTGTTTTGTGTCTTTTTTTTTTTTTTTTTAATCCTCACCCAAGAACATACTGATTTTTAGAGAGGGGGGAGTAAGAGAGAGAGAGAGAAAGAAACATTGATGTGAGATGTTGCCTCCCCCATGTACCCCGACTGGGCCAGAGACCTGGGTGGAGGATTTAGCCTGCAACCTCAGCATGTGCCCTGACACTGGAATTGAACCTGCAACCTTTTGGTGTATGGGACACAGATGAGCCACGTGGCCAGGGCGGAATGTCATTGCTTTTGATCAGTTATTTATTTCTGCCATGGTTGCTTAAGCTTTTGAATATCAAAATAGTATGTTTGCTTGTTACTTTCTGTGTGCTGTTCTGGGTTGATATAAAACCCTTCTGATTAATAACTTTGCTTAGATATGTGCTAGCTACTAGCTATTACATAAAGCCTGTTTTCCTTTGATAATGGAAGCTATAGCCTGTGAAGTGAACAACAGAGATAACGTTAGGTCAAAGACAGAACTGGAGAGAAGGAAGGTGGTTATTTTATCATTTAAGCTTTGTATTTCCTAAGATTTGGGGATATTCTTACTTGACATAAAGAAAGCAACAAGACCAAAGTTGTCATTCTCTTTTCTCTTCTTTTTACTGGACATATTTTCTTGATCAAGGATAAGAGTATACTTCAGGAAGTATGCTATTTTCTGATAGCCTGGCAGAGGAATCTCTGTTTCTCTCTGTTCCAAACATCAGCGAAACATTCAGTCTCAGAGAGTGAACTGATGGTGTTTCCTAAAGGAAACCCCTTCCTAGCCCATTTCCCCTATTGCACTTCACTTCTCCACTCTTTACTATGAAAAGAGAGCATTGTTTAGTTTCTACATATGTGTTTATATCTCTTATGAGCTTCTTATTGTTTTTTTAAAATATATTTTTAGTTTCTACATATGTGTTCATATCTTCTTACTGTTTTCTTTTTTTAAATATATTTTTATTGATTTCAGAGAGGAAAGGAGAAGGGGGAGAGAGAGAGAGAAACATCAATTTTGAGAGAGAAGCATGGATCAGCTGCCTCCTGCACGCCCCACACTGGGGATCGAGCCCACAACCTGGGCATGTGCCCTTGAATTGAACCTGGGACCCTTCAGTCCACAGGCCGACACTCTATCCACTGAGCCGAACTGGCCAGGGCCTTATTGTTTCTTTTAACTGTTTTCTGGTGAAGTGAACTTATTTTCTCAACCCCTCCATATTTTTAAACTTTTTCTTCAATAATTTTTCTTCTGTGAAATTTCGCTTTGTTCATTTGTAATGACTGTATACAATATGTATTAATTGATAAACATCTGATTCTTAGAAAGTCTCCTTATTGCTGGAGTCTGAGGAAGATTTTGGCAAAAAGAGAGGAAGGCAGGTTCCTAGTAGATAGTTCAATACGTTATTATTTGCCTTATATTTCTCTTTTTTTGTTGTTGTTAATCCTCACCTGAGGATATTTTTTACTTTTTAAAAAATATATTGTTACTGATTTCAGAGAGGAAGGGGAGAAGGAGAGATAGAAACATCAATGATAGAGAAAATCATTGATCAGCTGCCTCCTGCACACCCCACATTGGGGATCAAGCGCTCAAACCGGGCATGTGCCCTGATCGGGAATCGAACCGTGACCTCTTGGATCATAGGTTGACACTCAACCACTAAGCCCTGCCCAGGCAGGGATCAAATACTTGATCCTTCTTGACCCTGCGGTGTGCAGACCAATGCTGTAAATACTGAGCCACACTGGCCAGGGCAATATGGAATTAATCCAGAATAAACACTGCCCCAAAGGTCCAGTGATGTTGATTAGGCTAAAGCAGTGGTTCTCAACCTGTGGGTTGCGACCCCTTTGGCAGTCGAACGACCCTTTCACAGGGGTCGCCTAAGACCATCCTGCATATCAGATATTTACATTACAATTTATAACAGTAGCAACATTACAGTTATGAAGTAGCAACGAAAATAATTTTATGGTTGGGGGTCACCACAACATGAGGAACTGTATTAAAGGGTCGCGGCATTAGGAAGGTTGAGAACCACTGTTTTAGACAATTTCTGAGTATTTTCATTTGGAGAATACATTGTGTCTCCCACTTGCTAGACTATACAGTAGTATAAATGGCTTGCAGTATTTCAAGTTAAGAGGACCAGAGAGATTGCTTCAGATAGTCCAGCAGACAAGTTGGCTGATTGTGTGTGTGTCTCTCTCAATCTTATCAACCAGGACATCCCCTAAGAGTTAACATTTTGCTTCTGAAAAGCCTGCTTGTCTCTTTGTGCCCTATGCAGAAATTATTCACATATTTCTGTAGTAGTATTGGTAGGTCATTGAGTTGGGTGTCTGGGACTGCTTCTCTATGACCTGTTCAGGCACAATTCCAGTTGTCTGAGGAATGCACATCCGGCCAGCCTGTAGTGTCCCCAAATTATATGTGTACTTCAAACACTGAAGTCAGTCACATGCTGCCTCTTCGTTTCTCAACTGGGGATGATGTCATCTCATCTCCGACGGGGATGTTTCTGCTCTGAAAGTGCTGGGAGAGGCTCTGGGATTAAGGCCAACTCTGTTTTGTTCCACACACCGGGTGGGAGCTCTCTTTTTGGAGCTGTTTCCTATCTGAAAATACCTTTGTGTCAATGATCTCTCATTCCCCACTCATTCTTCCCTCTGAAGTTTGCCTTTTTCACATTTTGCAGAATCATATTGATGGTTTTTCTCTTCCTCTACATTTTGGATCTTAGTCTCCGGTGGTTTAGTAGTAGCAAGCAAATTTATGGAGAGCCACAGTGATGTTTTAACTAGTGACTAGAAACTAGGCCCTACAGTACCTTTTCACCATAAACACAATTTAGGGTTAGGCCAAGGACCAACATGGAGTGTTTCCTTAAGTCTAGTCCAGGGTTACTCAGAAAAATATTCTGACGTGATGTGATGATTCACCTCTGTATTTTAGTAAGAATTATTGGTTTCCACTTTGGCACTTGACTGGTCCAGCTGTTTTGAAATTATTTTAGCAACGTTAAAGATTTCCCAGCTTATTTTCATAATTTAGAGGCTAGATCTTTGATATTTTTCAAGTCTTGTCATCCAGATGTGCTGAAATCAGGTATCCCTGTTTTATAGGAGAAATGATATTCTGAAGGATATAAAAAATAAACTTCAGAAGGAGCCTCATATATGCTGATACGGGTTTGTTTCAGGTTGAATAGGCATCTCAAAGTAATATGTAGTGGAGAAAGTGAGTCTATAGGAGTCATGCTTTTTAAAAAATCCTCACCCAAGGATATGTTCATTGATTGTTAGAGAGGGGAGAAAAGGGAGAGAGGGAGGGAGGGGGTAGAAAGAGAGAGGGAGAGAAACATCAAACATCAGTCAGTTGCCTCCCATATGCTTCCCAACTGGGGATCAAACCCACAACCTAGGTATGTGCCCTGACCAGGAGTCAAACCTGCAACCTTTCAGTGTATGGAAGATGCTGCAACCACCTGAGCTATACTGGCCAGGGCTAGGCGTCATGCTTTTAAGAAGAAAAAAATTTGCCCTAACCAGTTTGGCTCAGTGGATAGAGCGTCAGCCTGCGGACTCAAGGGTCCCAGGTTTGATTCTGGTCAAGGGCATGTACCTTGGTTGCGGTCACATCCCCAGTGGGGAGTGTGCAGGAGGCAGCTGATAGATGTTTCTCTCACATCAATGTTTCTAACTCTCTATCCCTCTCCCTTCCTCTCTGTAAAAAATCAATAAAATGTATCTTTTAAAAAATATTTTATTTTATTTTTTTCTAAAACGTTTATTGTCCTTTTAAAGAAAACATTTTTTTTTTTTTTTAAAGAAGTCATGCTTATTTGTAGCTTGGGATTGTTAGCAGCATTTGAGGTATTTTCTCTTCATCTTTTCCTTCTAGTCTGTCTCTGCAGCAGCATAATGTAATTGTAATGAGCTTGAGTTAATGTGTTGGGCAGGGAGTGATGTGAGTCTGTATGTGTGGGACTGTTGAGTTGTGATTTACTGGGAAAAATGGGTTATGAAGTAAAGAGAATTATAATAAAGCCACCTATATAGAAAATTTATATAGATGAGAAAATTTAAATTTACAAATTAACCTAACCCCACTATCCAAGATAGTCATATTTTAACATTTTGATCTATGCTCTTCTGGACCTTTTTTATGTATGTAAGTACATGTGAATTTATAGATAAGTATGTTTTCAAAATATGGTACTATATAATTTTTTTTACCTTTTCCAAAAACCTACTGTGACATCCTATCTATAAGTATACAATAAAATAATGGTTATATACTATTCCATTTTATGATTTCACCATAATTTATATCACCAATCCCCTGTTCATTTAGAGTCTTTCCAATTATGGTATCTTTCCAGTTATAGTTATTATATACAGTGCTGCATTAGATATCTTTGTATATCCATCTTTGTCCACTTGATTGTTTCCTTAGGATAAATTCCCACGTCTAGGTCAATTTATACATTTTTGTTTTTAAGACTATTTGCCTAGATATTGCCAAATTGCCCTCTAAGAATGAAAGGAAGATCCTCAAGTAAAATGTATGCATATTCTTTTGTTGTTGTTTTACCAGAGGATACTTTTTCCATTGATTTCTAGAGAAAGTGGAAAGGAGGTGGGAGGGAAGGAGGGAGGGAGAGAGAGAAAGAGAGAGAGACATCAAAGTGAGAGAGACACATCGATTGGTTGCGTCCCGCACGTACCCCTACCAGGGCTGCGGAACCTGCAATGAGGTACGTGCCCTTGACTGGGACTTGAACCTGTGACCCTTTGGTTGGAGGGTTGATGCGCCAACCACTGAGCAAAACAGCCAGGGCTACTATTCTTTCTTAAAAGATCAGAAGCCTGCATGCAAAAGACTTTTTTTAAAAAAATATATTTTATTGATTTTTCACAGAGAGGATGGGAGAGGGATAGAGAGTTAGAAACATCGATGAGAGAGAAACATCGATCAGCTGCCTCCTGCACACCCCCCAATGGGGATGTGCCCGCAACCAAGGTACATGCCCCTAGCCGGAATTGAACCTGGGACCTTTCAGTCCGCAGGCCGACGCTCTGTCCACTGAGCCAAACCGGTCAGAGTGCAAAAGACTTTTTATACCTGAAAATTCGTTGCCAATCTGAAATCACTCCAGAGAGAAATGATTTGGCTTACAAGTTTTGTGACTACTCTTGGAATTTTTTTTTTTGCCAGAACTTCTTTTTCTCTTGTTTTTTGGACATTTACTAGTACTTAGAACTACAAAAAAATCATCTCACATTTCACAGTATGGTGTTGGGGATCAGGCCAGATCCTGTTCATAATTTTAAACTTTAGAGTTTTCAGAAAGATATGCTTATTCTGCTGTAAGTAAGTACAATCCTAGAAATAAGTGATAACTTTCTGTTTTTCCTCATTTAGGTTTCAACTGTCTGTGCTGTGGGGTCAGGAGTAAGAGAGGTAGATCTGATGTGTATCTGTGCTGAAGAAGCATGAGCTCCGCAGTAACTAGCAGCCAGCCCTCTTCCCATAACAGTTGCAGATTGTTTGTAGTGGTAGTGCATGGTCTTCTTCTGAGAAGGCTGTGGATTTCTTATTAAACATAATTTACTTGCCCTCTCCAAAAAAAGATGCTCTTAACAGAGAAATATATTTCTCACAGTTTCACGGTATAATATGAATCAGTCAACTCCCTAACTTTTTGTCTCCTTCAAAATCTTCCCATAACTTCATGTCCTTTTGTTTTAGTAAATGAGTCTCTTTTTTTTTTCTTTAAAAAAAATTTTTTTTTAATGATTTTAGAGAGGAAGGGGGAGAGATAGAGATAGATAGAAACACCAGTCATGAGAGAGAATCATTGATTGGCTGCCTTCTGCACGCCCCACACGGGATCAAGCCCGCAACTCCGCCCCTACTGGGAATCGAACTGTGACCTCCTGGTTCATAGGTCGACGCTCAACCACTGAGCCACACCGGCTGGGCAGTAAATGAGTCTCTCAATTCTTTTTCTTTCCCCTCTCTGCTGCACCTCTCCCCTGACTCTTCCTATCATGTAGATGGGGTTTCATAATTCACAATGATAATAATTGCTTATATTTATAGAGTATATATTATATGTTAAGTGCTATACATGACTTATTTTAGTTCTCATAACAGCCCTATGAGGTACGTTATTATTTCTCCACTTTATAGATAAGGTAACCAAGGCCCAGAGAGTTTTAATAAAATTGTCCAAGGTTACCTAGTTAGTAAAGAATGGATCTCATATTGAAACCTAGCAAACCTAGGTGTTCAGATTTCAGAGCCCACAATCCTACCCACTACGCTATAATTGCTCCCTCGCTAATTTGAAAGTCTGTGTGCAAACTAACCTGACTTTAAACTAAATTAAATATTTGTTGTTGAATGAGTACTGACTGAACCAGTAGTCCTTAGTGAAGGAGAGACTAGTACAGAAGGGAACTTCTCCTTCTGACTTTAACTCTCCTTAAAAAAGCAACAAAATTCTGACCTCCTGTTGCATAATATGTGGAGTTATTAATCATTCTTTCAGAAAATATTTTTTTAAGTTTTTTTTTTTTTTTAATATTTTATTTACTTCAGAGAGGAAGGAAGAGGGAGAGAGAGATAGAAACATCAATGATGAGAGTGAGTCATTGGTCGGCTGCCTCCTGCATGCCCCCCACTGGGGATTGAGCCCACAACCCAGGCATGTGCCCTTGACTGGAATCGAACCTGGGACCCTTCAGTCCGCAGGCCAATGCTCTATCCACTGAGTCATTCTTTCAGAAAATATTTTTTAAGTTTTAATGTGAATTCATGCCAAGGATTGGTAACTGATTCTACAGTAAAATTCCAAGATCCCTGAAACTAAACAAACAAAAGAGTTTGCCTATCAGATGCCCTCTTTTTATCCATTGCAGATTCAGTAATCATAAGCCGAATGCTTTTAATCAGAGCAAGTCAAGGTCCCTCATGCACCAAGAGGAAAGCTGGTCTGAAATAAAAGGAGCTTCCGCCTCTATTAAAGTTGTTTTGGTCTTACTGCCAAGACATACTTTCTGCTACTTAGTGAGGACCTTAATGTCTGTGACGCTGCTCTTTCAAGTATCAGACTTGAAAGACAGATTTGTTCCTAGACACTGGCATTGTGTGGTTCAGAACAAGGATAATCTCACTAAGAGAAGTGAGACCTATTTTTGCTGGTGACATTATGACTGTTACCAGAAGAACAGTGTTGTTATTGTTAATCTACTTGAGAAGAACTGAAGGAGGAGGACTCTGCTCTTAATCCTCTATCAGGGAATGTGAAAAATACATTTTCTTGTCCCAAGGGAAGGGGGTACCTCCAGGGAAGAAAACATATGTTCATCTTGTCCATTAGCAGTTTCGAGATGTGTTTGTTAGAGCATTCTAGTTCTCTAGGTGCTTTCTTGTCCCTCCTAGACTCAAGATCACCAGGAAATGAAAACAAAAAGATGGTTTAGGAAAAAGAGTTGATTGGGGGTTAGGAATATGGATTCCAATTCTGGCCTGGTCACCAGCTTTGCTCTCTGATTTTGAGCACATCCTTATGCTTTGCTTTTATTTATTTAAAAAAAATTAGACTACAAATCATAAAGGCCCTTTCTGAATGATTTTTTTTCTTAATATAAATGGTTATTGATTTGTTAGCTTAAAAGTGGACAGTAGCTTCACTTGGGGACTGAAAAGCTAAGTTCTCAACTTATTCTATTTAAAAATCAACTTTCATTAACAGTTATAGATTTTAGCCAGACTGAACATACCCAGGCTAGAGTTAAAAAAAAATAAATCCCAAAAAATGGTTCTTTAGGTCTTTTTCATTTTCTTCTTTCTGTAGAGGAAGTAGGGCTTGAAATTACTATGATTAGCTCTATATCATCTATTGACCCACTCAAAGATAAGTTACTTGAACCATTATTATTTCTGATGAAGCCTGTTTGTCATGGCTTTATTTTTTTGCTTCCAGTAGAGCAACATTAGCTAGTTGTTTACAGTGCTTCTTGGTCCAGGGCCTGTTAATAAGGAGGAGTCTCATAGTCATGAAGGAAATAAACTATGGACATGAATTGGGAATTCTGTAAAATAAAAAAGCAATTTCTGTTAGTGCTTCATCCTTGATGCTTAGTTTTACTAGAGAAAACCTCTCAGAAAGAAGCCAGCTCAGATGAAGAAGCTTGATTATCTAGACTTGCTTTCTTTTCATCTATGGTATTTTTTCACTAAACTTTTAATTGTAAATTTTTTCAGACATACACAACGTATAGAGAATAGTGTAATGAACCACCATTACCCATCAGCTAGCTTCAACAGCAACATTTTGCCAAATTTGCATCTATTATTCTCCAGTCTTCCACCTCCACTCCCTGGGATTTTTTTTTAAAGAGAACTCGGTCTTCATGTGATTTCAGCCATAAATAGTTCGGAATGTATCTCTACAGATAAGGAATCTATTTTGAGGGGAGAGGGAGTTGTAATATTACCATGGTAGCAGTGTCACATCTTCAAAATTAAAAAAGGTTATTTCTCCTCTCAGGGCCTCTGTATCAGAAATCTGTAGCTTATTTTCTAAACATCATCCAAACAACTTTTACACATTATATTTGGTGGATACCTCTCTTAAGCTCTTAATTAAAAACAATTCCCACATCCTGTTGTATTATTTTGAGGGCCAAACAAGATATATGTTTGTAAACTTTAAAGTGCTATAAAAATATACATTGTTTGGTCAGTGGAGAGAGATAGCCTTTCTAAAAATGTGTCAGCATTTCATTGTAGTCTTATAGTCACCATTAAGGTGAAGTAGGATAATATGGAGATGCCCAAGTGATGGAGAAAAGGTAGAAATATTATGAGCTCCTCCAGGTCAGGAACATAACTTCCAAGAGTACCTAGCATAATTCCTGACATATAACAGGTGACCAATAAGTAGTTGTTGAATAAGTGAATGGAGAGGAGCAGAAATAATTTTGCATCGAACTGTGCTGAGATGTGTTAAAATTAAGCCAACGAGGAGAAGCTAGTGTAGAACCTTCTCGATAGCTTTTATAGCTAAGCTGTCAGCTTCTATAACCCACTGTTGGGTAATGGGCTCTCTTTCTTTCTTACAGCACATGCCACATTTCCTAGAGTGAACTAATGATAATGTAGCCATATTGATAATAGCCCTCCAGAGTTTTGACTTAGAAGGGGAGAAGCAGGTTCCAAAATTACTCAGGAAAAAAGTTTTTCTTTGAAAAAAAGTTAATTTCAACATTGGAATTCTACTCTCCATTCAATTTCCCTACCCAAAAAGAGGATGATATATATGGATCATGGATAGGGATTATAAAGTGGTGCTATATCCTTATCAGAAAGTATTTTCCAGAGATGCTAGAAAACAAACTTTCTTTTGAATAATGTTTTAGTGTTATTCATAGGGATGAATCTCAGTGGTTGGCTGGCATTATTACCAAGCCGGTTACTGCCATGCTGAGTTGGTCTTTTACCTCTTTCTCTTTTTTCCCCCCCACTTCTCTCCTCCTCCCCTTCCCTCCGCGGCTCCCCCCACCCCCCATTCTTTCACTGCACGTAAAGAAGAGAGCTTGATTATGAGGTGAACAGGTACAGTGCTGGTGACTCTTTAGTCTCATGTACTTCCTCAGTGGACAATTTCTCATTGGCAGAGCTTTGGGCTATTTGGTCAATCCTTAGCGGATGGTACCTGGTTTCCTGAAATGTCACTCTGCTCTTCATTGGGTTTCTGAACCGCACTGGGTGTTTTACCAACACTGGCAAAATTCTCTAAGCATTTTTCTCTTCCCTTCCATTCATCTTTGGTAGGTTAGAGCTCTGATCTGTGCCCAAGGGGCAAAACTTAAGGCAAGACAGAGAATGAGTCTTGGGTCCTGATTCTTCTCCTCCCTATTATTTATTCTATTATTTGTTAAACCCCAATATCTTTCTAACTGCTTCAGTTCTAGTGTACTTGGGTTAATCCCAGCTTTGCAGTTAGAGATAGCTAAGTAGTTGGCACCAAAATTCCATTGAGTGAAGTTCTCCCACCCTCATTCTGCATACTTTGCAAGAGTTAGCAGCCCTAGAGCTATATGTTTGTGTCATAAAACCAGGAAAGTTAGCAAAGTAGAACTTTTGGAAGTTAGAAAGCCCCAAACTTAGACCCTGCCTTGAAATCATTTATCTGCTTTTCCCCCTCCATTATTTAACTTGTCCAATTACTCCTTGCATATTTTGTAGGTGAGACTGTCAAACTAGGACTAGATATTGGCTTTTCTTGGTTCTTCCAGATCCCTTCCAAACCCCTTCCTTGGGGGGAAAAGTGGGTTGGCCAGGTACCGATCAAGGAGTCCAGAATCAGTGTTTGTCTTCACAACTGAAAGTATACCGATTTCCTCATTGAGAATCACTGATTCCATAGTTATGTGTGTGTTCTTTCAGGAGGGTATGTTGGGGTGGGGGGGAGTTGGGAGGAGCCAAGTACTTTGAAATGCTAATTAACATTTTATGATGTTCTAGGTAATTGAACATTAAACCTTACTGTGGACTCAACTTTGCTCTTGCATTAGAAATCACATCTGGCAACATATTTGTTTAGCACTTCATAGTCCATAAAGTACTTTGAATTTACCTTATCTAATCTTTCTATAACCTAATTTAGGTTCTTTTCTTTTAGTTAAACATAGAGAGCAATTTGCCTGATATAACAAGGGTTTGAACCCAGGTCTTCGAATTTTTTAATAGTTCAGCATGTTGACTTGCTCTTGGCTAAAAGGTTGTAATATATAAAAACTTTGACTATTGTTTTTGTTGGCAGACACCTTAAATTTTGTAGTAAGTCAGTAGAGTTTTAATTATAAATCTGAGTCGTCCTGGCTTTTGCTTAGGGTTCCAGCCCTCATTTGCCTAATCTTTCACCCAGCTGAAGTCAGCATTATTGAAAATGAAGCATCCTACAAAAGATGTCGATTATTGGGCACTGATGTTTTTTCCTCCCATTTTTGGGGGGTTATTTTATGCAGTATGTCTCCTAACAGCTAAGTGAGAGTTCCCTTGCCTCCTTTTTTGGAAGAGAAATGAAAACTATCGTGCTCTTCATTTTTTGCCACTCTGACTCACCATGAGGAAGGGAATTTTGCTGCTCTGCTTATTGTACCAGAAATACTTGGTCTGTGCTACTAGGAGCTGTTCTAACCTCTCTGAGCCCAGCTATATTCTGAAATTCTCAAGGCGCTTGACCATTTGTCTTAAACAATTATAATTAGGGCTTTACCTGATTATCCTCAATCCCATGTGTCCCTGTTGCTGCCTCAACATTAATCTTTATATATGGACTGAAACTAGTGTCTTCCTACTCAGGTATTATGTTATTGAAGATTCATCCCATTTGGACTCCTCTTTTTAATTTTCTTTAATATGGCTAATCTTTATTCCTTTTGAATTCAGAGCTAGATTGATGTGATAATCAGTAATCTATGAAGACAAAGGCCAACATTCTCCAATATGAAATGGGAAGGAAGGTTTGCCTTCCTGAGTGATGATGTATCTCTGATGTGATCATGGATGAAGGTTATGGGGATGGCAACCCCTGAAGAATTGACTTAATCAGAATACATTTTTCTATAGATAATCTTTTGTCACTTTCTGAACATACTTATTCTTGAAATCTTTTCTAAAATTAAATGGATAAAAGTCATAAATAATAATGAGATTTAACTGCACACATGCCTGCACTGATTAAATAGTCAGTAAAACTTTAGTAAGTAAATGCCAACAAATTCCTGTTGAGTTTACAGCAGAAATGAAGATGAGGCTGTAGGGATGCAGAATCAGTTTCTGCTTGCACTGAATGCTTTTTCATTATTTCGATTTTGCATTTTCTCATCCTTAGCCTCTTTCTTCTTCACAGATCAGCTCTTTCTGAAGAGCTGAAATAATTAAAGAGAAGTAAATCACCACAGATATGCTCTAAAAATTCTCACCCTTTTAGTTCTACAGGAAAAAAATATTAATCAAGCCCCAGACTTTCCAATTAGTTTTGGGTCTCTTATGCCCTTTCTCTTTCAGCCATGGTATCAAATGAGACCCTCTGACTCTGATGTATCAAGAACAGGTCTATTTCCCAGAGAAAATATGAACACTTGAGTAAGAAAAGGGACTAGAACAGGAATGGAATGTACTCAAGGGCTCTATGAATATTAGGGAGAACGAGGAAGGGACTTTTAAAATCTCTGTCCAAACGGTATCACAGAGCGAGAGGCCGGAGCTCATTGTTAGGTTTAATTTGACTCAGACCCTGATTGTTTCAGTGTGCAGGATAGAGATATCTGAGTGGGTGTGTGTACACACTTATAATTGTGTTTTGTTTATTTTTTTTTAACAGCTTCTGGAAACAAGAGAGCCATGGCATCTGAGGTAAGTTTCTTTTTTTTTTTTTAATATATTTTATTGATTTTTTACAGAGAGGAAGGGAGAGAGATAGAGAGTTAGAAACGTCGATGAGAGAGAAACATCGACCAGCTGCCTCCTGCACATCCCCTACTGGGGATGTGCCCGCAACCCAGGTACATGCCCTTGACCGGAATCGAACCTGGGACCTTTCAGTCCGCAGGCCGACGCTCTATCCACTGAGCCAAACCGGTTTCGGCAAGGTAAGTTTCTTATTGATACATTGGTTCTAAAACCAGAAGGATACCTGGTTCTGACATCTTTTTTTTTTTTTTTTTAATATATATTTTTATTGATTTTTTTACAGAGAGGAAGGGAGAGAGAAAGTTAGAAACATCGATGAGAGAGAAACATCGATTCAGCTGCTTCCTGCACACTCCCTACTGAGGATGTGCCCGCAACCAAGGTACATGCCCTTGACTGGACTCGAACCTGGGACCCTTCATTGCGCAGGCCGACGCTCTATCCACTGAGCCAAACCGGTTAGGGCTGGTTCTGACATCTTTATTTCCCCCCTGTTTAAGTATCAGGAGCTAGACAGAGTTCTTATATCTGTTTGGTGAGCTAGAAATTATGCAACTCTACTTTTGTTGCAGTTTATTTATTTTAATTTTTTATAAATTGTAAAGAGAGAGGAAGGGGGAGAGAGAGAAACATCAATTTGTTGTTCTACTTATTTATGCATTCATTGGTTGATTCTTTTATATATATATATACTTTTATATACACACACACACACACACACAAGTATACTTGATTTCAGAGAGGAAGGGAGAGGGAGAGATAGAAATATCAATGATGAGAGGGAATCATTGATCGGCTGCCTCCTATATGCCCTCTCCTGGGGATCAAGCCTTCAACCTGGGCATGTGCTCTGTCCGGTAACCTCCTGGTGCATGGGTCGATGCAGTACCTCTGAGCCACATCAGCTGGGCAATTTAATACATTTTTAATGTACCAAAGAATAAATAATGTACCTAAGTGACCTGTAATCTTGCAAACAACTCCTATGAGGGAAGTACTGTAATTCATGTCTTACAGATGAGGAAAGTGAGGATTAGAGGTTCTGTAACTTGCCCAAAGTCACATAGTTAATAAGTGGGATTGATAAGTGTAGGATTCAGACCCAGACAATCCAACACTAAAACCTACTCTTTTTTTTTTTTTGCTGTTACTGCCTCTGGTTGCACAGCTTCAGTGAATTTGAATATCTTCGTTTAACCATACAGAAGCTAAATTTCCTACTTTTTTTTTCTGTGCAGAATGTTTTCCATTTGCTTAACTTGCTTCTCAGCCCTCTTCTTGCCTCTCTCCTGGGTTGTATGACGAGGCTTCAGAATGTGGATCCTTTTGTCCTGGCAACCTGTGGGTCGCGACCCCTTTGGGGGTCGAACGACCCTTTCACAGGGGTCGCCTAAGACCATCGGAAAACACATATATAATTACATATTGTTTTTGTGATTAATCACTATGCTTTAATTATGTTCAATTTGTAACAATGAAATTGGGGGTCACCACAACATGAGGAACTCTATTAAAGGGTCGCGGCATTAGGAAGGTTGGGAACCACTGTTCTAAGAACTGTGAGGTTATATATAGATGGTTTTCTAGCACTAAGAGCCTTAGCAAGAAGTAGAACTTGAATATCAAGTCCTAAGATCGTGACATCCTATTTTCACTAGCCTTCTTGCCTTCTGGCTTGTTAACTTAATTAGCATTGACATCATGAAGAATACCTTCCTGTCTGTTGTGCTGGCATTTTGGCTGTGGGGAATAGCCATCTAGGCTCTGCTCTACTGGTTTTACCTCTTCCTTATTTCAGGGGCTGATATATGGGTAGAAAACAAAGGCATATTATGTTCTCAGGAATCTCTTCAAGGCACTGAGGCCCATACACTATCTCAGAGGAGTCATCTTATTGCCTCAGCCTTTTCATTCCTGGCCTCGCAGTACTTGCATTTGCCAGTGGCAAGATAATTTCTCATGGTAAATTCAGTTTGAGCAGTTGGTATTCAGATTAGATTGAAGGTTAGAGAGGTAGTAATTTCTGAAAGGAAGCTGGTGAAAAAAAGAGGGGAACTGTGGAACTCTACTTGTAACCTGTCTTGCTTTTTTGAACTTCTCCTGTTTCCACTTTTCTTTAATTATACTCATTTTTACTTTCTGTGTTGTCATTCTGAGGACCAAAGGTGAAATATACATCCCTCGGGTTTTCTTCTGTGTTCTTTCAGCCAGTTAATTCACTGGGAAGCAACACTGTAGCTGTGTGTTTGCATAGGGTGGGTCTTCTGAAGATTTTATAAATGTTCATAACCTAAAAAGGGTATGTTGAATGTTTTGGTTTGTCGTCATGGTAGCTGTTTGGTGTATTACGTGGGAATTATATATTAATCTTGACTCTTCTTTTTCTAGGTGCCTTATGCCCCTGGCATGTCCATCAAGAAAATAGGCCACAGAGGTGTTGATTCCTCAGGAGAGACGACATATAAAAAGGTGTGTCTGGGTGGAACCCTTTCATCTTCAGGAAGGGGTAGTCCTGTCCCCTTGATATTCTCCTTATTCTCTCCCATTTCTTGATATCCTAAGCCTTTGCACAATAGCTATTACACAACTTGGACCTTAGCGTTTACTTCACAAAGGGTGAAGTGAGATATCGTTTATCTGTATATGTATGACTAAATGAGAATGTTGTTCATGGACAAATCTGATGGTGGTTGCTATTTCGCTGAGCTGAAGAAACTGGACTTCCCTGTTAGGTATAAACAATTTTCAAGCCCTGAATGTCATTCTTCCCTTGCTTCAGGGAACCATGTTTCTCTTTTTAAAAAAAATATTTTTACTGATTTCAGAGAGGAAGGGAGAGGGAGGGAGAGATAAAAGTATCACTGATGAGAGAGAATCATTGATTGGCTGCCTTCTATACACCCTACACTGAGGATGGAGCCCACAACTGGGGCATGTGCCCTGACAGTGACCTCCTGGTTCGGTGGACACTCAACCACTGAGCCACGCCAGCTGGGCGGAATCATGTCTCTGAGTCTTTTGATCTTTCCTCTGGTGCTGGATGTACATAAAATCAAGGCCATATCTCCCCCAGCCTGGTGATACAGACTGACATCGGGTCAGTGTTTTCCTTTGTTTCTTCTTAACAGTGTGCTTTTTAAAGATTTTCTTCACCTTAATTTTTTATTTTTTTAATCCTCACCCGAGGATGTTTTTATTGATTTTAGAGCGAGAAGAAGAGAGAGGGAGAAAGCAAGAGAAAGAGGGGGAGAGAGAAACATCAGTGTGAGAGAGAAACATTGATCAGTTGCCTCCTGTAGGCATCGAACCCACAACCTTTCTGTGTATGGAACCAAGCTCCAACCTACTGAGCCACACTGGTCAGGGCATGTGTTTTTTTAAAGAATGTAGTTTCAGTTGGTGAAGAGGGCCTAGAACACCTGCTTTTTGAGCTTTCTAATGGATTGGAAAGATAGTAGTACTAGCTAAGAATAGAAAATTGAACTGATGAAGGGAAAACTGGAGAAAAGCATCTTGGGGTGATCTCAGGTCTTCGGTTCTGGACTAATTTGGAGATGCCTAGCCCTCCCCAAGGGACAGTATTCAACCTCCCATTTAGCAGCTGTGCCTTGTCTGATATAGGGCATGCAGATTTCTTGGAGTTCTGTTTCTGGCTCACATACAATATTCTTGTGTCTGTTCTCTGCCTTTATTGCATTTGTCCCAAGTAATAGAGGTAGACTGACTCATTTTCAATCAGGGACCTGACTCCCTAGGAATGGGTACTGAGGCCCATGTTAACTTAACAGACATTTATTGAGCTCTTTTTATATGCCGAACATTGAGACAAAAGGGTGAGTTTCTAGTCTAATTAGAGAGGCAGACACTTAAAAACGCCAGTTATAATTTTAATGCCCAGTGAGGACTAAGTAGAAATACAAGTAATATCTGGTGAGAGTTAGGGATGAGGAAAATGATGTAGAACAAAACTGTCTAATAGTACTTTCTATAGTGATTGAAATGTACTGTTTGTTACCCATTATGGTAGCCACTAGTCATACTTGAATGTGGCTAGTAAGACTGAAGAAGCAAATTTTTAATTAACTTAAAATTAAATAGCCATGTGTGGCTAGAGGCTACTGTACTGGACAGCACATATGTAGGTGATGTGATATTTTTCCATGGGATTGGAATCCTAGATTGTAAGAGTGGGGCTCTTGCATTTGTGTTTTAACCATAGTGTGATAATTTCTGAGAAGTTTTTAGATTTAAAATTGAGTTTTTCCAGGCTTTTTCAGTTAGGAATTTTTTGTTGCTGTTTTTTGCCACTCTATTGTCCTCAGAACACCAATCAAGCCCTGCCTTAGAGGACTGAGGCGTCTATAGCTGGGTAGATAACCAGAATATTAGTTAATTTTAACTGCATCCTATATCAGATGAATAAAATGTTTGGGGGGGCCCCAGATACTCTGGGGGAAGGAACTTTTGGAGTGAGACCTAAGATTGTTCTCTCAATACAATGTATCTTCCAAATATAAATATGGAGAGGAGGGAACATCTTGCCTAGCTTAGGCTGGCTAGGACAGTCCTACCTTTGCTACTCTGTATCTTTAGGCCCTTCCATTCTTTGCCAAGCTAAACTGCAATGTAAAACATGGGGATGGGGAAACTGGGTTAGGATGAACTACTTAGAAGGGCGTTTGCTTTAAGTGCTCCTTCTGGCTCTCCCTCCTGAGTTTTTACTGCTATGATCAGATTTAATCCTAGAAATTTTGCCCTTATTTCCTTTCTGTTTTCAGACAACCTCATCAGCCTTGAAAGGTGCCATTCAGTTAGGCATTACTCACACTGTAGGGAGTCTGAGTACCAAACCAGAGCGGGATGTCCTCATGCAAGACTTTTACGTGGTGGAGAGTATCTTCTTCCCCAGGTAAAGAGGTTAATGTTCAGGACAATGTCCTGGAAAGTGTGCCTTTTCATATTACCCTCAGGCCACTTTTAGGGGTTTGGTCTAATTTAGGCATGTGTCCAATTCTTAACCTGATTTTAATCAGGGTGATATGGGACACTAGAATGTGGAGAATAGATGCTGTCCTTTGGATGTTTCCATGAGCCTCTGGCCTAAAGAATGAGCCCTAAAAAACAAAAACAAAAAACCAATTCCATGCATGTGCTCATGTTTTCATCCCCATGTTGTGCTTTTTTAAAAAAACACATTTTTTTTTTAAATTACTGATTTCAGAAAGGAAGGGAGAGGGAGAGAGAAAAATAGAAACATCAGTGATGAGAGAGGATCACTGATCAGCTGCCTCCTGCATGCCCCACACTGGGACCAAGCCTGCAACCCCAACATGCGTCCTTTACTGGAATCTAACCTGGGACCCTTCGGTCCGCAGGCCGATGCTCTATCCACTAAGCTAAACGGGCTAGCATCCCATGTTGTGCTTTTGTCCCACTAAGTAATGGACTCATCTAATCCCTCTGGTTCTATCAGAAGGGATGTATTGACTCTGCCTCTGGGTGACTCCCAGGGTGGACTCCCTGGATAACAGGGTCTGGTAATTTATGGCTTCTTCTATTTAACCCCACAGTGAAGGGAGCAACCTGACCCCTGCTCATCACTACAATGACTTTCGGTTCAAAACCTATGCACCTGTTGCTTTCCGCTACTTTCGAGAATTATTTGGTATCCGGCCTGATGATTACTTGGTAAGCTTCCGCATCTCATGACCCTATATTGGAGCCCCCTCACTCCATAGTCTTACTCTAGTTTTCTTTTGGAACAGAATTTCATCTGCAGTTGATTTCTGGTTGGGCAGGTCCTGGTATTTCTGAACTTCTTGTTGTCTTCTCTCTGGGGCTCAGTATTCCCTCTGCAGTGAGCCGCTGATTGAACTCTGCAATTCTGGGGCTAGTGGTTCCCTCTTCTACGTGTCCAGTGATGACGAATTCATCATTAAAACAGTCCAGCATAAAGAGGCGGAGTTTCTACAGAAGCTGCTTCCAGGATACTACATGGTGAGGGGAAGAGGAGCATGGCTACCTGTGCTGCCCTCTTTACTCCTGGACAAGGCTGGGGAGGCTGTCTTCTGTGGGGCAAAACAATGTCAGCACTTTTAAACATATATTATTATTGATTTCAGAGAGGAAGGGAGAGAGATAGAAACATCACAGATGAGATAATCATTAATCGGCTGCCTCCTGCACGCCCCACACTGGGGATCAAGCTCCTAACCCGGGCATGTGCCCTGACCCGGAATTAAACTGTGACCTTCTGGTTCACAGGTTGATGCTCCACCACTGAGCCATGCCAGCCAGGCTGTCCTATTTTAAGTGTTATTTGGCTTAGACTGTCCTATCCAAAGGCAAGATTTAATGATGGCCCTGGCCAGGTAGCTCAGTTGCTTAGAGTGTCGTACTGATATGTCAAGGTTGAAGGTTCTATCCCCAATCAGGGCACATACAAGAATCAACCAATGAATGCATAAATAACTGGGACAAACTGTAACAACAAATATTTCTCTCTCTCTCAAAATAAATAAAATAATGTTTAAAAAAATTTTTTTAAAGGATGCAGTGATGATTTTGCTTTCTATTCTTAGCTCAGCTCCTACATTGGAGAATGGGGTTGTTTACTTCCTTGACAATACTCTATCTGATCTTACTCGACTGACTGCTCTTGGGAATTCTGGAGAAATTAGGAGACTCTCCTTTGCCTCTCATCATACACAAGAATATACTATACCACGGGCTAAGAGTTAAGACTTTTTCAATGCTGTCTTCTCTTAAACCTCTCCTAAAGGAATATACTCATCAAACATTCAGTATCCTAACTGATTACTATATTGGAGAGTCTGTGGCTCAGCTTGGTGATGATCCCATCATTAAATGCATTGGGAAATTTCAAACAAATATGGTATATGGTGTTTGGTTATGGGCAGACAGATTGTACTTGAATCCCAAGTAATAGATGAATGAAGGTGGATGGCAGCTTTTGCCCTTGAATTTCACTGAAAGTCAGCTAAGTTACTCTCCTACTTTTTGTTTTCGCGCCCTTAGAACCTCAACCAGAACCCTCGGACTTTGCTGCCTAAATTCTATGGACTGTACTGTGTGCAGGCAGGTGGTAAGAATATTCGAATTGTGGTAATGAATAACCTCTTACCACGGTCAGTTAAGATGCATATCAAATATGACCTCAAGGGCTCAACCTACAAACGACGGGCTTCCCAAAAAGAGCGAGAAAAGCCTCTCCCCACCCTTAAAGACCTGGACTTCTTACAAGACATACCTGATGGTCTCTTTTTGGATGCTGATATGTACAATGCTCTCTGTAAGACCCTGCAGCGTGACTGTTTGGTGAGTTTGTCAGATTCCCTTCTCTCACAGACACCAAAAATCTCAATCACTAAAACAGCGTGGTTGTCCTTGGGCTTCAAATCTATGGGAGATTTGAGTGTTCCTTCACTTCATATTTCCCAGGCTTCATTTAAAATAATTTTTACACTAGATCATTGTTAAGCCTTTACATTTTTACTTCCTCTCTGTGTCTCCTCCCCCATCTGGCTTTATTTCCTTCTCTATCTACCCTGGGCTTCATAATCATACTGTCTTATTTTCATACCAGCACCATCATTCCTCAGATCTTGGTCCTGCCTGCCAAATCTAAATTTATATCTTGGAAGCTGGCTGTTCTCACACAGCTGTGTGTACTGGCATCTCTGTAGATGTATGATATCCATCTCCCCCTGGGCCTTCAGTTTCCCTCATCAGTCCATTTTCTGTTTCTCTCAGAGAGTTCAGATAATTGGCACTCTCTTCAAATCACCTTTTAAAAATATATATTTTTATTGATTTCAGAGAGGAAGTGAGAGGGAGAGAGAGATAGAAACATCAATGATGAAAGAGAATCATAGATTGGCTGCCTCCTGCACGTCCCCTACTGGGGATCTAGCCTGAAACCAGGAATCAAACCATGAGAGCCTGGTTCATAGGTCAATGCTCAACCACTGAGCCACATCAGCCGGACTAACCCACTTTTTTTGGCCATTTAAAACAAATTAAATTTATTGGGGTAACAGTTAATAGAATATAAATTTCAGATGTATAACTTTATAATACGACATCTGTACAGTCTATTATGTGCTTGCTACCTGAATCTAGTCTCCTGCTGTCACCGTGTATCTGATCCCCTTCCCCTTCTTTGCTCTCGCCCTCAACCCCTTTCCTGCTGGTAACCACCTTGCTGTATCTGTGAGTTTGTTTTTGTTTCTTTGTATGTTTGTCAAACCACTTTTTAACTTCCATCCCCCAGCCTTGTTTCTCAAGAAACCACCTCAACTTCCTATTCCATTCCATCCCTTTGTCCTGCCCCATCACTAATTTATAAACCATCCTTAATCTCCTTTCTTAACCAACTTGGTGGCTTATTCCAGGTCAACCCCTTTTGTCCTCTAGATCCATTTCCTCCTATTTCTTTAAGATCATGCTTCATAACTTGCTTCCTTTTCCACCTTTGGCTTCAGCCTCTACTGACTATTTTCTTTCTACACACAAACAAGCTTACTTCTTCTATCTTAAAATTAGGAGGATTTTTTTCAATGTCTGCATTTAATGATGCTTATATTTCTTCCTTTTCTTTCTCTTTTCCTATTTCTGCCTCAACTCACTGTGTCCTGGCTTTTGTTCTCATCACTTCAGTTGAACCACTCTCCCCATTGACTACAGAAATGCCAAATAGAAAGGACTTCTAGGTTTTGTTGAATTTTCTGAAGCATTTGACAGTTAACTATTTCCACTTTTTTAACATATCTTCTTTTGGTGACATCTTTCCCTATTGATTTTTCTACATCTCTGGTATTTTTTTCTCTAACTGGCTTTGCTTATTCTACATCTATTTCAGGATAATGTCTATTTTAGTTTGACTCCTTTGGTTGTAAGGACTAGGAACATAGTGGAACAAATATTTTTTTCAAACTATACATAAGAGTCGTCTACGGCCATACCACCCTGAACGCGCCCGATCTCGTCAAACTATACATAAGAGTCAATCCTATTCTCTTCATCTCTTACTCCATTCACCTACCTAAGTGGTTGAGGTATAGCACCGAAGTGAGCTCCTGGACTGGTGAGAATAAACCCTTTTTCACCCTGTTCTGGGTAGAGGACGAGTGGTGAGAACTATAGGATATGATCCAAGCTCCTTAATGCAACATATCAGACCTGTCATTGTCTTACCCCTGCCAGCCTCTCTAATCTGCCTCACCTCGCCTTTGTATTTTATGTTTTAGAAATACCAAATTATACCTCCCTGTACATAACATGCTGTTTCATGCCTCCAGACCTTGAAATATTCTTTCCTTTATATACTTAGACTTATTTTCTCTGTAATTTATCTTTCATAACTCTATGTATGTATTACTTCCTGACCTGTAGACTGCTCCTCAATTATGTAAGCACTTCCATTGTACACATTAGACTGTATTTATTTTCACTTTTGTTTCTCTTCCTAGATTATAACATTCTAGAGGACAGAAACTCTCTTAAGTATCTTTGTATTCCCCATTAGTAAGCACAGTGCCTATAGATGGTAGGTATTCAGTAAATATTGAACTGAATTGAAGCTGATTGTATTAGGTCTTGCAACAGATCTGCTCTTTCACAAAGTATACTTTTACCAGACCCTCCTTGTGGATTCTTTACAGCACAGATATGTATTTCTTATTCCCTTGAGAATATAATGATGTTTTTGTGAAGAGAAAAAAGGAAAGAACAAAGGGTATCTTGTGAGCTAGGCAGTTGCCTATTTTGTGTTTACTCAAATGAAAGAAAGCTGAGGGGATACAAATGAAGAGCAGCCAAGAGGAGGCTGATAGCTTTTCTCCAAGGACTAGGAGAAGAAAAGGATAATTCTGTGGTTAGCCCTAGAGGTTCACTATCAAGAATAATTGGACCAGAAAAGCTGTGAGGTCCTGAAAAAACTTCTCATGCCACCCAAGGCTCAGATCATGTTATTTCCTCCCATTAGGTGCTGCAGAGTTTCAAGATAATGGACTATAGCCTCCTGATGTCAATCCATAACATAGATCACGCACAACGAGAACCCTCAGCCCATGAAACACTATACTCAATTGATACACGCAAACCAGCTCCCCAAAAGGCTCTCTATTCCACAGCCATGGAATCTATCCAGGGCGAGGCTCGGCGAGGCGGCACCATGGAGACTGAAGACCAGTGAGTGGGCTCAGGGTCATCAGGAAAGGAGAGCACAGGCTAATAGCATTTCTTCTTCAGGAAGGGACGCAGCTTCTGCGAAGGAGTAGCCTTGATTCAGCAGTTAAGCCAACAATGTTAATGCTTACAGACTATAGAATGAGCTTTCTGTTTTTAATTTTTTAAGATATATTTTTATTGATTTCAGAGAGGAAGGGAGAGGGAGAGATAGAAACATCAATGATGAGAGAGAATCACTGGTTGGCTGCCTCCTGCATACCCCCAACTGTGGATCCAGCCCGCAACCCGGGCATATGCCCTTGACTGAGAATCTAACCTGGACCCTTCAGTCGGTAGGCCGTCGCTCTATACACTGAGCCAAACCAGCTAGGGCTATTTTTTTATTTTATTTTATTGATTTTAGCCCTGGCCTGTGGCTCAGTTGGTTGGGTGTTGTCCTATGCACCAAGAGGTTGCTGGTTCCATTCCTGGTCAGGGCACATGCCCAGGTTGCAATCTTCATCCCTTGTAGGGGGTATGCGGGAGGCAGCTGATCAGTGTTTCTCTCTCTCTCTCCCTCCCTCCCTCTCCCTTCTTCTCTAAAATCAATAAAAACATATTTCTTAAAATTTATCAATTTTAAAGAAAGAAAAGGAGAGAAAGACATCAATTTGTTGTTCCACTTATTCATGTATTCACTGTTGGATTCTTACATGTGCCCTACCAGGGATCAAACCTTGGCGTATTGGGATTATGCTTTAACCAACTGAGCTACCTAGCCAGGGCCTAGAATAAGCTTTCTTAAGAGCCTATAAGGAAAGGATGGTATCTTAAATTTGGGATTTGTAGTACACTTGGGAAGAAAAGCTATTCAAAATTAAAAGACTTGTTTTTAAAAGATCATTCAGAGTCTTAGACACGTCTGCAAATGATATTAGAATTTCATAAAAAGCAATTTATTACAGACTTATTTCCATCTATCTTATCATAATGTATCTATCCAGGATGTGTAGTTACTGAAGGGACCAGAGATGTTTTTTAGTTGGTTTCGGTTTTAAGGTATCCTTTAATATGACTCAAGAAGAATGTCTTAGTGGGCATAGATTTAACTATGAAAGTACTGATGGAAGGAGTTTAGAGTTAATTGGGTAAATATTCCCAAAATTGCTGAGTAGGTGATTTCAGATTCTCTTTGGTGGAATTGGGGTGGGAGAGGCAGGCTAGCGAGATTTGGAGAGGATGAGGTTATAATACATACTCCAGAGTGGTTGGGTCAGAGGAAGTCTTTTACTCTTTCCCAGTTTATGGAAGATGGGACCATTATGTTTAGTTACCTGCTAGCCAAAAGATTGTCTTTCTCTTTCCCTTTTGTCTTCCTCAGTATGGGTGGCATCCCTGCCCGGAATAGTAAAGGGGAAAGGCTGCTGCTTTATATCGGGATCATTGACATTCTGCAGTCTTACAGGTGAGAAACATAAGAATTCCAAATTAGGGGGCAAAGTGGATGCAGATAACCCCTCATTTCTCTTGAAGAACATGGGTTTGTCACTGAACTCTTCCTGATATGAGAGCAGCGAGTTATAATCTGGCTGCTTGTCTCATTGGGTGTCACGCAGTGATTTATTTTCTTGATCTTTGCCTGTCCTTTGGCTTCTTTCCCCCACCACCCTCCCAAGCTGAGTCAGTTCTGGGAAGCACCAGGGTAAAATATACCATTTGTCTGACTCTCTGAAAAACCTGTGAGGTGAGTCATACTTCACATTGGGTGACAGCAGGAAACATGTTCCCCTTTTCCATGACCCACAGAGGGTCACTGTGTTCTGTGAAAACTATTAATTGGTCCGTGGAACTAAGAGGCAGTGAAGTGATGGCGAGGGAAGCAAGTGATGGCGAGGGAAGCACTATAAATATAGGGTGTCCAAAAATGAATAATTATAAAGGCAGTGTTTATTAAAGTACATTTCATTTTCAAAATTGAGCTATCAGCTGTTAAAGTATACATACATTTTTTTGGGACACCCTGTACAAGACCCCAGTTTTGCTCCTGTAAGGTTTCAGGTACTAAAAAGGACTGGACAGTGCTTGGTTTGCAGACTCAGAATATTATCCAATTTTAACTCCTCTCTCAGAGGCTTGCCCATCTATTCTTCTAGCTGTTCTTTCACAATAAATATTCTTATCCCTGACTTGCCAGAGACATATTAACTACCCTTTCTCTTGGGATAATTGACCTACCTAGAAACATCTTTGCTCTCATACTGAATAGGTACTACTGTGTCTATTCTTTGGAAAGCCAGTATATTAGTGGGAGTGCTTCCCCAGCCTCTGTCTTTTTAAGTGTTTCTATTACCATTGACTCTAACTCCCTAAAATAAAAAAGTATAAGGTCATGTACACATAATACACATTTTCTTTGGCAGGTTTGTTAAGAAGTTGGAGCACTCTTGGAAAGCACTGGTGCATGATGGGGTGAGTAGCAATTAGCTAGAGGCTCTCCTGCCTCCCTCACTTCTGATTCGCCCCCCTCAGTTTCTTACTATCTCATTTTATTTGTGGGTTTTACCCTTCTACTAGGGTCTCAGCCTAGGGAAAGTGGCCCTTGGACTAGAGGTTCTTTTTCTGGACCTCCTCCATCTCTTAACTCTGCAGCCCTCTCTTCTGCTCTGCAGGACACCGTATCGGTGCATCGCCCAGGCTTCTACGCTGAACGGTTCCAGCGCTTCATGTGCAACACAGTGTTCAAGAAGATCCCCTGTAAGTGGCTTCTACCAGATGAACCCCCAGTGGCTCCCTTCAAGAGATGAGGGGCAGGACACCTCTGTCAGGGAGCTGCCAAAGCCAGAGGCTTCTCCTGCTCTACCCACATTCCATGATAGCTGCTGCCTGTCTTTATGTCAGTCACTCTGTCTGTTCCAGTCGTTTCCAAGTTGCTCGCTGCTTTCCCCCTGGCTCTCCCTACATGTGTCATTGAGGTGAGGGACATTTTTTTGGGAAATTGGCGGGATTTCAAAAAATATGTAGTGTGGGTGTAGGATCCATGTCACAGGCCGAGCTAGGCAGAGTCAGACTTTTATGGACAGAAGTAGGCAAGGATATTACCAGTGTTCTATTTTCTGTTTATAAATTTAACGCCAAGGAGTTCTCAGACTGGGTTCAAATGGTTGAAGCATTTACTGATGTCGCTTAGCGGGTGTTCTTATTTTCTTCCCTCAACTTTTTTGATAGGAAAGTACCAGTGTTCTTCTTTCCAAACCTTTCATGCTGCTGCCAGTGATAAATTCCACCTCCTCCTTCCCATCTCCTCATCACAGGCATCCCTCAGTGAGTCAGAGGACCTAGTCTCCCACACAGTCTTAAGAAATATGGGAAAATCCTTTTACAGTCTTCTCAAAGGGATGTATAGACAAGTGTGTAAAGTGTCGTCATAGTGCCGTGTGCATAAGTACTTCAAGGATATAGAGTGAAAGGGTCATCTTTGTCAGCTTTAACTGAAGGATACTATTAAAGAATGGCGCATGGAATAGAGCAGCTGTCGCCAACCTTCGGGCCTCACGGACCAGTGGTCCATGGACCACCGGTTGGCGACCACTGGAATAGAGAACATCTCATCAGGTGGAAGCTAAGCCATTGAGGGCGCTTGTAGGAGGGGGTGAGAGATGTATGTGTCTCCTTTTTCTAGGTTCCCCTCTTGTTTCCAAAGTGAAGTGAACTGAGATGCCCCTTCCTCTAAAAAGTAGTTCGTAGAGCCCGTCTTTGTTGATATTAACCCTTCTTCCTGCTTTGCAGAAAAACAACTTTGTGTTTGTGTTGGGGGTGCTAGCAGTTTGTACCTTGTCTTGGTGATGGTTTCTGAGGGGGGTGCTAAGTAGGCTCTCTCTTTCCCTTTTGAAGTGAAGCCCTCTCCTTCCAAAAAGTTTCGGTCTGGCTCATCTTTCTCTCGGCGAGGAGGCCCCAGCGGCAACTCCTGCATTACTTACCAGCCACCGGTCTCTGGGGAACACAAGGCACAAGTGACAACAAAGGCGGAAGTGGAGCCAGGTCAGCGCCAGGGCTGGGGTTCCCTTGTGACGGGGCACTCCTTCCCTTCCTTCTGAGTCCTTATTTGCTTAGGACCTTTGCTTCCTATTCCTGTCCAGGAAAAGCCAAGTTGCTACATAATTTTCCCTGTGTTTCCCCCACCCCATTTTTTCTTCTTTTTTATTTATTGATTTTCTTCCCCTTTCTTTTTTCCAGGCGTCCACTTCGGTCGTCCTGATGTTTTACCTCAGACTCCACCTTTGGAGAAAATCAGTGAGGTCTCGACTATTCCTGACCCCTGTTTTTCACCTGTAGTTGGAGAGACTTTGCAAATGTTGTCTACAAGGTTGGTTCCTTGGCCCCTTTCTCTGTAATCTTCTCTCTCTCTCTCTTTAGGTCCTTAGGAACTTCCGTAACTGTTTTTTTTCCAGAGATCATTGTCTTCTGTTCTTCACTAGACTTTTTCAGGTTCACCTTCCTTAGTGTTCATCTTTAGGGTTTAAAACGTGTGCCAACATCTCTGTACCTTTGTGGGTGGGGAAAGCTTGTGTGCAGGCTTTTCTGATAATCAGTAAAAATACCCCAGCGAGCCCTGCATCTCCTGGTGAGATAAGTGAGTTCTCCGCGTAGGATGGAAGGTTAGAGAGATTCCTAGACAGTGAACAATCTTTCAGAATAATCCAGTGTAAAGATTGTCTTTCAGTTTTGTTACCTGGCGTGTTAATTATCTGTTACAATATAATAAATTATCCCAAAACTTAGTGGCTTAAAATTAAAAATGTATGTTACAGTTTCTGTGGGTCTGGAATTTAGGTGCAGCTTAGCTGTGTCCTCTGGGTAAAGGTCTTTCATGAGGTGGTGGTCAAGCTGTTGGCTAGGGCCAGGGCCTCTTCTGAAGGCTCATTTCCAAGTTCATTTATATGGTTTTGGGCAGGATTCAGTTCTTTGTGGGTTGCTGGACTGAGAGCCTCAGTTCCTTGCTGGCTGTTGGCTAGGGCCTCCCTCAGTTCTTTGCCACATGGGCTTCTCCATAGGACAACTCAGATATCTGGCTTCCCTCAGAGTGCATGCGCCTAAGCAGAAGCCACATTCTTTCTGTCATCTAATCTCAGAATTGACATCCTACTACCTGTACTCCATGCTGTTCACTAAATCTAACCCATGCTCAAGGAAAGGATAACACAAGGGTGTGAATACCAGGAAGGCAGGACTCACTGGGAGCCATCTTAGGAGTCACCTGTTAAAGTCCGCCCTCTGATCTCTAGTGACTCACATCCCTCCATGTGCAAAATTCATTCCCCCTCCTGGTCTCCTAAAGTTTCATCCCATTATAGCATCAGCTCACAGTCCAGAATTTTGTTATCCAAATTCGCTCCATGTTTGAGTGAGCTTCCCAGGTATTGCTCCTTGAGTGCTGATCCTCCCAATCTGTGGACCTGTGAAATGAAGAGACAAGCTATCTTCTCACCACCCGCTCACTGTACAGTGGTGAGACAGACATTAGATAACCCCTATACACATTCCTGTACAAAAAGATTGCGAATTTGAGGCACAGGGGAATCGATCCATAGCTACCTAAAATACAGCAAATATTCGAGTTTCTTTATCAGGTCTCAAAGCATGGGAATAATTCTCCATGACTCTCAGCTCTGTCTTTTGGACTCTCGGTTTTGCCTTCTGAGTCTTCCTAAACACTAGACTGTGTTTGCAGCTGAGTAGTTTTCTCAGCCTCCTTCTTGCCAGTAGAATTTGGGGGATCGAGTGGTCCTTTTTCATTTTGCATTGCTTTTGTTCTTTTCAGTCTAAGCTGGTGATGTTTCTACTGATAATTCTCTCAAAGATTTGGTGGACTTTCTGTGAATGTCATTTGGGTTTACTCCATTGGACAAAAACCTCAACTACAAGTACCTTCTTTTATATATATATATATGCATATATATATATTTATTGATTTCAGAGAGGAAGGGGGAGAGGGAGAGAGAGAGAGCGAGAGAGAGAGAGAGAGAGAGAGAGAGAGAGAGAGAGAAACATCAGTCTCCATACTGGGGATCTAGCCCGCAACCTGGGTATGTGCCCTGACTGGGAATTGAACCATGACCTCCTGGTTTATAGGTTGACCCATGACCTCCTTGTTCATAGGTTGACACTCAACCACTGAGCCACACCAGCCAGATAAGCCCTTTGCTTCTTAGAGATCCTGTTGTTGAGAGGATCTGTAAGGTGCATACCCTTAATCTTTTTGAATGTTTTGAATGGCCTTTTATTTATGACTGAATAGTGCTCTGAAATATCAACTTTGATTTTTCTGTGGCCTTAAAAAAACATTTTACAGCCCTGGCTGGTGTGGCTCAGTTGGTTGGAGTTTCCTGTGCACTGCAGGGGTCACAGGTTCGATTTCCGTCAGCGCACATACCTGGTTGGGGCCTGTATTGGAGGCAACCAATCAATATTTTTAACATCAGTGTTTTTCTCTCTCTTTCTCTCTCCCCGTCTCTCTCTCTCTCTCTGAAGTCAATAAAAACATATCATTGGGTGAGGATTAAAAATAAATAAATTAAAAAACTATTTTATAGTCCATACCCATGGCTTCAACTTTAGACCACTTTTTCCTGATATTGGATTTTAGCCTTGGATTTTAGTCTTACTCTGAAGCCATTTCTTTACTTTTTTTGTTTTTAATCTTCACTGGAGGATATTTTTTCCATTGATTTTTAGAGACAGTAGAAGGGAGAAAGGGAAAGGGGGAGAGAGAGACAGACATCGATCAATTGTTTGCCTCCTCCATGCTCCCCAGGCGACCAGGGGCTGGGGATTGAACCTGTAACCCTTCTGTGCACAGGCTGACACTCTACCACTGATCACACCGTGCAGGGCTGTAGACGCTTCTGAATTTTAGCAGTGTTTGCTATCTAGAGAGGCTCAGACTTTTCAAAACTATTGTCAAGTCCTGGCTTCGTTTTGTTTAATAATCCTTCCCTTAAGTTATTATTCTTCTCTCATATTTTACCATAAGCATTAAGAAGAAATCAGGCCCTGGCCAGTATTTTCCAGTGGTTAGAGCGTCAGCCCGCACATGGAAGGGTCTCAGGTTTGATTCCCGGTCGAAAGCATGTACCTGGGTTGCAGTTTTGATCCCTTGCCCCAGTTGGGGCTCAAGGCTCGTGTCTCCAATCCATGTCTCCCTTCTTCCCTCCCTCCCTCCCTTCCACTCTTCCACTGTCTCTAAAAAGCAATGGAAAAATTCCTCGAGTGAGGATTAACAAAAAAAAAAAAAAAGGAGTAGAAATCAGGTAGCACTATGCTTTAGAAATCTCCATAACAGGATCATCCAGTATTAGGCATATATTCTACTTTACATATAACTGCAGATGACATTGTTGCTAAACTTTGTTCCACTATATTATAAGGTTCCCCTTTCATTTTCTAATACGAGTTTTTTCCCTCACTTTCAGCTCTCATTGGCAACCCACTTGAAGTCCAAAATTCTATAGTATATTTAGGGCACTTTTAAACTTTCACTAAAACTCTCCTTGAAGCTCACTTCCTTCTTCCAAAGCCACCCACATTTTAGATTTTTCTTACAGCAGCACTTCATTTCTTGTTATATTATTATCTATTGTTTATGACAAATTACCCCAAAACTTAGCAGCTAAAAACAACAAACATTTATTGTCTCATATTTTATGTAGCCTAAGAATCTAGGTGTGGCTTGGCTGGGTGTCTTTGGCTTAAGGTCTCTCAGGACATTACAGTCAAGCTGTTAGCCAGGGCAGTGGTCTCATCTGAAGGCTTACCCAGGGGAGGATCCGTTTCCAAGCTTATGTAGTTGTTTGCAGGATTCAGTTTGTTAGCACATGGTCCTCTTCATAGGACAGCTCACAGCATGGCAACTGGTTTTCCCAAGAGCAAACAAGTAAGAGAGCATGTACCCAAAAGGAAGCTATAGTCTTTTTGTAACCTAACCTCCAAATCGGCATCCTATCACCTGTGCTAGATTCTGTTCACTAGGAGAAAATCACTAAATCCAGCCCACACTCAAGAGAAGAGAATTACACAATGGCATGAATATCAGGCAGCAGTGATATTTGGGTGCCTACCTTACCTGGGGATTGAAGACAGAAGAAGAGGGTATTAGGAAATATTTTATAGTTTCCAGAAACTAAATAGTTAATTAAAACAATGTTTCTAAATCTAGTAGCTTCTTAGCCTCTTCTTTCTGAGTGCTGAATTGATTCTGAAGTGAAATATAGAAAATAAACTTGAGAGGAAAGTTTTTTTTTTCTTTTTTATCTTCTAATTCTTTCTCTACCTCTGTTTTTCCCCCTCCTGTTAGTTCAACCCTCTTGGAAAAGCTTGAAATTGAAGAGTCAGAGTTCACCCAAGTAAGTGTCTGGGATGTGGGGGAGGTGAAGGGTATAAAGAGGATGTACTGATGGAGTGTGGAGCAGGGTGCTAATTGGCAAAGTTAGAAGGACTGGGTGCCCCCTAAATCTTGCATTTTAAAAATTTTGCTTTTGGTACCCTGTACTTGGAAATGGAGGTTGAAATAGAAGAAAACTTATTAACTCGGCCAGGCAGGTTGAAATTAGCTTGAGTTCCTTTCCTTCCTCATTTCATACTCCTCATTCTTAACTTGACACCCTTTCTCTTTCAGTGAGCAGAAAACCTCAGAAGACCTGGAACCAGATTCTGTCTCTGTGATCTCAAGATGTCAGCCATTGCCCCAGTAATGCTGAGTTTTCTTCTTGGTCATCAAAAAAGGAGTATAATGGAGGCTAGGGTAGCTCTCCAACTCCTTTCTGAAGAACAACTTCTCCTTCCCCTTCCTCATGAATGGGCATATTGCCTTGGACAGTTGAGGAACCAGCTTCCTCTCCACTCCCGAGTTGGATGGCACGAGTTTTTAGCTGGCCAACTTGGGCTTCTACAATTGAATTGTTTTCAAACACCCATTCTTCCTGCTGCAAGTGGGGCTGCTGGACTTGGTGGTTTCTTCCCTCTCATCTACCTTTCACCAGGAGCTGGACTCTCAATTTCCTCAGGACAGACTGGCTGGCACATGATCCCTACCATAGCTCTTTCTCTATGGAAGGGGAGACCCCTGTAAGCTTTGTAAAAGTTTTGGGGGAGTGAAGATGTTTAACCACCTTCCAACCTTCTTTTTTTCCTTAAAAAGGAAAAGAAAAAATAACGCACAGCACACAATTTTAAGCCAGACAGTTCAGATCAAAACTCCAGAAGTGTTGGAGAGATGCCTATTCATAGGGTTTCTTCTGGAGAGCCTTGGTGTTTGAGAAGCGGAAGAGGTGATTGCTCTGCCTGGAGCAGCTCCTCTTTAACTCCTCCTCTCTTGATGAATTTCTTAAGGCTAAAGGAATGGAGAGAGTGGGACCTTGGGTAATCTTTACCCCTTTTGTTAAAACGGTGGGGCAGTCATGGGCTAGGCGATCAGGGCTCTTCTTAGGCATGATCCTACTCACTGCCAGGCCATAATGATTATTACTGTTTTGTAATTTGAAATGTATTCTGATTGTTTTTTCTAAATATGAAGACATCAAATGAATTTTAGATCCTTCTCCAAAGGAGATTTCTTCCTTATTCTTCCCACCTTTTCTAACAGTGTTATGCTGTTTGTGGGGCTGAGGTGGAGAGAGGGTCACCTGTGTTTGTTTAACAGGCAGCCCATATCTATGAAGCTAGAGAATCTCTCTTAAACTCATGGGAGCCAGCAGATTCTTGCCTCGGTGAGGCCACTGCTGTGCCGCATGGCCTGCCCCTCTCTTCATGCAGAGAAGTTGGGAATGGGGGCTGTATGATCCCTCTCCTCCCCATCTCAGAGTTGCAGTTCTCCATCTGGTCCTCCTCCTCCTGTGAGGAGAAGGGGCCTGGCATCTCAGGCAGATTGTTGAATTCCCAGACTATCCTCTTCATCCCACCCCACGTTGATGGTAGGTTAGCCCACACCCCGAGTAACTGTCTATATTAGACACCCTCAGCCAGACTCTGGCTGCCTGTCTTTGCTGCCATGTTCTTTTTTACAAGAAGGAAAGAAAGAATTCTTGCTAGTTTTTTTCATAATTTACTATTTATGATGTATTTAAGTGTTTTATTCAGGACAAAGTTCTGTAGGGGGTGGGAGGGAGTATTCAAGGGAGGCTGGGTCTTAGGGAAGGGAATGGGGAATGAACATTTTTATGAAGTGTCACTATTTGCCTCTACTTTGTATTGTTCAGAAACGGCAAATGCAATATAAGTGATAACTATCTGGTTTTAATGTATTAAACTTTCATCAGTTATTTAGATTTCTTGTTTCTTCTTGGTTCTTTTTCATATACCATCTGATCAAAACTTGAGCCTCCCACACAAGCTCAAGTTCTGTTCATGTTGCCGTGAACAAATGCTGCATCCTTTCCAGCCTCAGTCTAACTCAGGCCGAGAGAAATGGCTTCATTCCCTTCCAGCCACCCCCTTCATCTTTTTTTTTTTTTTAATATATTTTTATTGATTTCAGAAAGGGAGAAGGAAAGAAACATCAATGATGAGAGAATCATTGATCGGCTGCCTCCTGCACACCCCGCACTGGGGATCGAGCCCACAACCTAGGCATGTGCCCTTGACCAGAATCAAACCCGGGACTCTTCAGTCCTCAGGCCAATGCTCTATCCACTGAGCCAGATCAGTTAAGGCCCCCTTCATCTTAACTTAAACTTGACAAGGAAAAGCTGTGAATGAATATGAAGGGAATTACTGTAGGTCTGTCGCCTTGTTGCAACCCACTTTAACTGAGGGAATTGGGAATCCAAAGCTCAAAATCTTCCTCAGGTTTCGGAGCAAAGCAGAGGGACACTGGGGAAAGCCAGCTTGAGATTGGTTGATCCTAGGATTCCCTCCCTTTCCCTGGACATGGCCCTAGAGCAGCAATTTTCAACCTTTTTCATCTCCTGACACATATAAGTTAATTACTAAAATTCTGTGGCATATCAAAAATATATTCTACTTTTTTGCTGATCTGACAAAAATTAGGTATAATTTTGATCAATTTACTTACCCTTTTTGCTCCAAAGTGACTTTTTAAAAAATCAGGTGCTTATACTTACTTGTATATAAGCAGGGTTTCTGGTACCAAGAACTGACCAATCAGACACAGCCTTATTATGTGACATGACCAATATGATGCAACTCTATTACATGACCTATATATATAGTTCAAGACAGGGCGTTCACATTGGTTTACTATTGTGTTGGCTGTTGTCATTTTTTTATTTGACAGTCTAAGGAAAAAGAGGTCAGTGCCCTGACTAGTCAGGTATTGCATGTTTTAAAAAATTCTTTTTTTGTTGTTAATCTTCAAAGGATATTTTTCCATTGATTTTTTTTTTTTTTAGAGAGTGAAAGGGAGGTGGGATGGAGAGAGAGAAACATCGATGTGAGAGAGAGACATCAATTGGTGCCTCCCATATGGGCCTCCATTGGGGCTTGGGAACCTGCAACCTAGGTACATGCCCTTGACTGGGAATCAACCCATGACCCTTCGGTGGTGCTCTAACCACTGCACCACACCCGCCAGGGCATGTTTTAAAAATTCTTGGAGCACATCAGTTGAAAAAAATCACTGCCTGAGGTTGTCAGTCTTAGAAAAACATGAAGACTCCCTCACCTCTGTTTTCCTAGTGTGCTTAAGCTCGTTTTAAAATATATTTTTATTGATTTCAGAGAGAAAGGCAGAGGGAGAGAAAGAAACATCAATGATGAGAGAGAATCATTGATTGACTGCCTCCTGCACGCCCCACACTGGGGATCACCTGTAACCCGGTAATTCAACCGTGACCTGGTTCATAGGTTGACACTCAACCACTGAGCCATGTTGGCCGGGCCAGGCTCTTTTACTGTAATGAGAACTAGACAAAAAGAGGGAGTGTTCATTCCAGGGCATATGGTGGCGTAGTTTTAGAGAAAATCAAGTTAACTAAATATTGCTCCTTTTCATACCACAATCTATGTTATCATTCTACAAATATTTATGCAGCTATTGAGCAATGCATGGGCAGTTAGAAATCAAAAGAAGTAATTGACCTTCAAGAGTTGACAGCGTCCAGGAGGAGCGCACACTCGCGTACACAAAAACATGTTAGATAAGATCTAGTTAAGGGTTTCAGTCCTCTGAATGATACAGAGCATAAAGGTGAGAGAAAGTTAGAGGTTACTGTGGGCTAGAAGTGTTGGGGAAGTTTCACTGGAACACAAGGGCCTGGAGGTGTGAGAATGGTCTGTTTTAGAGAACAAGGTAGAGCCCATGGTGCCTGCAACCCCAGCATATGCCCTGATAGGAATTAAATCATGACCTCCTGGTTCATAGGTCGAGGCTCAACCATTGAGCCACACCGGCCAGACTTATCTATGTTTAGGATGCAAAAAGAGTTCAGATTACTGTCAGACAACTCGGGACCCCAGACTCATTGACCTGCTGTGCCTGCGAGGCTGGGCAGTGGGATTCTTGGAGTCTAAGCCCCAGACTGAGCCCTCCTTTAAGCTGGATAAGGAGAAAACTTTCCCTAATAGGAATTGAATCCGAACATGTTTTAGGCACAAATGGTCTTTGTGCTACTCTTGCCATTCCCTCCTCATCATGTTCATGCAACTGGTGAGTGCAGAAGGAACCCTCTTATGGTCAGTGTGTGCCTCTAGTGGTGAGCAGCAGCTACTAATTATATAGCTGTCCATTGCAATCTATTCAGATTCAAGCAGGACCTACTAATTAAAACGTCTACAACTAAAAGGGAAATCATGGTTTAATGTTTTACTCTTAAACATGTCGATCTCAGCTATTCTGAAAATTATTCATCGGAGTAGGCTCATTCAGAGAGGAAGTGAGAGGGAGAGATAGAAACATCAGTGATGAGAGGGAATCATTGATTGACTGCCTCCTGAATGCCCCCATACTGGGGTTCGAGCCCACAACCTGGGCATGTGTCCTTGATCAGAATCAAAGTTGGGACCCTTCAGTCTGCAGGCCAATGCTCTATCCAGTGAGCCAAACCGGCTAGAGTTCCTTCATTTTTTAAGTAAAAGATTTGCCAGTTAAAATAGATTCCAAATTAAACTGTTTATTCTTTAGTTTTTCAAGTGCACAAGAAGCAGGTCAATATCTCCTGTAATATTTTTATTTATTTTTTAAATACATTTTTATTGATTTCAGAGAGGAAGGGAGAGGGAGAGAGAGAAAAACAAACATCAATGATGAGAGAATCATTGATCAGCTGCCTCCTACATGCTCTACACTGGGGGTCAATTGAACCCACAACCCAGGCATGTGCCCCTGACCAAAATCTAACCTGGGACTCTTCAGTCCATAGGCCAACGCTTTGTCCCTTGAGCCAAACCGCTAAGGCTGTGAGATTATTTTTATTATGGAAATTTCCAAATCAAGAGTAGAGTAGTATGATGAACTACCATGTACCCATCACCCAACTTCCATCAATATCTGTATAAGACCAATCTGTCTCGTCTATATTTTCTACCTACCCCTCCCCAACTTTCTCTCTGCAACTCCAAAGAATTAAGTTAAAAATAAATCCAAGACATCCTATCTTTTCATCCATAAATATTTCAACATATAACTCAAGAGATAAGGACTTTTTAAAATATATATTTTTATTGATTTCAGAGAGGAAGGGAAAGGGAGAGAGAGATAGAAATGTCCATGATGAAAGAGAATCATTGATCAGCTGCCCCCTGAAGGCTCCCTACTGGGGATGGAGCCTGCAACCCGGGCATGTGCCCTTGACCGGAATCAAACCTGGGACCCTTCAGTCTGCAGGCTGATGCTCTATCCACTGAGCCAAACCAGACAGGATAAAATAAGGACTTTTAAAAAAACGTAACTATAACATTCTTACACCTTAAAATATGAATAATTCCTTAATAAAAGTATCCAGTCAGTGGTCAAAGTTAGCCAGTGGTCTTACAAATGAATTTTTTATAAATACAATCATGTGCCACATAACATTTTCAGTTAATGACAGACTGCATAAATAAAGGTGGCCCCATGGGATGGATTATAATGGAGCTAACAATTCCTATTGCCTAGTGACATGATAGCCATCATAATGTCACTCACATAACGCATTACTCACATGTTTGTGGTGATGCTGGTATAAACAAACCTGCACTGTCAGTTGGGTAAAAAAGTATAGCACATATAATTATGTACATTCCATAATTGGTAGTGATAAACAGCTGTTACTGGCTTATGTACTTAGTATACTATACTTTGTATTGTTATTTTAGAGTGTGCTCTACTTATTCAAAAAAGTTTGCGATAGCCCTGGCTTGTGTTGTTAAGTGGTTAGAGCATCAGCCCAAGCACTGAAGGGTTGCAGGTGTGTTCCCCAGCCCCGGTAGGCTATGTGAGGGAGGCAACCAATCAATCAATCTCTCTCTCACATTGCTCTTTCTTTCCCCACTCCCCCACTCCCTTCCACTCTCTTTATTTTATTTATTTATTTTTTAAATATATTTTATTGATTTTTTACAGAGAGGAAGGGAGAGGGATAGAGTTAGAAACATCCATGGGAGAGAAACATCGATCAGCTGCCTCCTGTACACCCTATACTGGGGATGTGCCCGCAACCAAGGTACATGCCCTTGACCGGAATCGAACCTGGGACCCTTCAGTCCACAGGCTGACGCTCTAGCCACTGAGCCAAACTGGTCAGGGCCCTTCCACTCTCTTTAAAAAAAATTAATGGGAAAAATATCCTCGGGTGAGGATTAACAACAACAAAAAGTTTGCTATAAAACAGTATTTTGTGTTATGCTAGCAGCAGCCTCATACACCTCCTGTTTACTGAGTCTTTTGATTGCACCATTTTTTCTTATGCTTTATTTAATCTCATGTTGTTTTGTACAGAAACATGCTTAGAAACAATTCTGGTATCTTACTTAATAATCCCTTCCCTTACATCCTCCATCAAACCCATTGGGAAATTCTATCAGTTTTATATCTCACAATATACTCAAAATCCAACTATATGTCACCATTTTCACATCTTGTTACCACCCTGGAATAAGCCACCGTCATATCATCAGATAATTGTAGTCTCCTAACTGATCTATCTCCTTCTGTAATCTTTTCTCAATGCAGCAGCCAGAGCTGTCCTGTTAAAACATTAAGTCAGAGTCTATCAATCCTCTGCTGAAAACTTCCCAACAGATCCTTATCTCAGAGTCCTTGATCCATGAGGCTGTCCGCGAGCTAGCCTCTGAACTCCCTATGTTTTCTGACTTTATTTATTCTCCTTCTGCCTCTCCCTCTACTCCAGCCTCTACTGGTCTCCTTGCACTTAAAGTACATCCTGACTCAGGGCATTTGCACTTGCGCTTCCCCCCAGGTGCCCTTCAGGTTTCTAATGTAAGGCTCCCTAATATCCTATTTATATGCTTAGAACCACCCGTTTATTTTTCTTTGCTGTGCTTACCGTTATTTGACTATATTTACTTATTGGTTTATTGTCTGTCTGTCCCCAAAGAATGTAAGCTCCGTAAGGGCAGGACTTTGTTTTGCTCCCTTCCAAGTGCTCAGAATAGTGCTTGACCCACAGGTAAATGAATTCATTGCTGTTTTGTTTTGTTTGTTTGTTTGTTTGTTATTGGTTCTTTTCATTATAGAGCTTTTGTTTTACTGAAATATGATCCTATCAGATTTCAGTTTTTATGTGTGTTACTGCAACTTGCACATTGCTATTTGAAAAGCTTCTGACATAGTTCTAACAGAATGTCTTTTCTATTTGAAGAGAGTATTACCGAAGTGGGCAAAAGTAGGCTTACAGTTGTGTGGAAAATAATACAATAATTCTCTATATAATAAAAGACTAATATGCAAATAGGCCGAATGGCAGAACGACTGGTCGCTATGATGTGCACTGACCACTAGGGGGCAGATGCTCAATGCAGGAGCTGCCCCCTGTGGTCAGTGTGCTCCCACAGGGGGAGCACTGCTCAAACAGAAGCCCTGAGACGGGCTCACCTCTCCCGCCTCCGTGGCAGTCGGACATACCTCAAGGGCTCCTGGACTGTGAGAGGGTGCAGGCCAGGCTGAGGGACACCTCCCCCCCAATGCACAAATTTCGTGTACTGGGCCTCTAGTTAATAAATAATAACGTAAGAACAAACTGTTTCTAAGACTGACAACTGTAAACCTATTTTTGCCCACCCATGTAGTTCTCTGTTCTTCAGGTTGAATCAAATCAATCTTATAGGATCTAATTTTACTATCTCATTTTTAACAGCCATTATATTTTGCATTCTTTGCAATATCTCCATAGACTTTTTAAAGTGTGGCAACAAAAAGCTGTTCACAGTCTATTAAATGACTGACTAAAGCTGAAATGGTGACATTTCCCTGCACAGATATCATGGATCATGTTTTCCCAGAACCGTGATGACAGTATTCATTCAGGTCCTAGTCCCTTTGTTTGGGTTGAATGTTTGTCTTTATTTACTTCTACATTTAGAATACCAACTTATAGTTATTCCTGATGTTTAACTTATCTTTGGAGTTGCATTATTCCGATTAAACAGTAGCATTTTTGTTGACTAATCTTATGTTTTATGAAATATTCTTTTGATTTTATTTCAGCTATTCTAATTTCTATTTTGTGCAATATTAATATAGCTACATATGCTTTCTTTTATTACTATTGCCTGATATGTTGCGTTTTCCTCTCCCTTTATTTCTACCTTTTCTCACTTAGTTTTGTGTCTCTAGTTACATTGTATATTTTTTGTTTGTTTGTTTTTAAAAAAATAAATCTTGTTTTTAAAAATATTTTAGTTATGTTTGAACTTGACGCTATTTTTCTGTGTTGTTGTTTTTTTAAATTTCTCCTCTTTCCTGTCTATGGTTATATTGACTTTTCCCCTCCTCTAGTGATATGGAGATTTTACTCTTATACAATCTGTGATGGTTACCAGTAACTTTTGAACATATCCATTGAAACTTTACCAATATCTAGGCAATATCTACAACACTCCTCTCCCCTGTTTCCAAGTTTGGTGTTCTGTTGCCATGCTTGGTCCCTTCCTTCTTTCCCTCTTCCCTCCAAGATAGACACCTGGGATTTCCAGACGTATGTGAGTGGTGGAAAGTAATCCAAAGCATTTTTAAATGTTACTCTTGATTAACAAATCAAAATGGTTTACTGGTTTTTGTCTCCTATTCTTTGGGAGATTCGTTAAAATTACTGATTTGTCAAACTTTTTTCTGGGCTCCTACCATGTGTCAGGCTCTGTACTGGGCTCTGAGATTGCAATGATTGACATGTCTCCTGCCCTAATAAAATGGGAGAGATAGAAATCACAAATAAATGCAATTCAGAGAGATAAGGGTTTAGTTAGTAGTTATGAACAAAGTGCTGTGGGAAACAGTGGAAGCTGAAAAAAAGTGATCCCACCACTGTTTGAAAATGACGGGCGCTGGAGCCTGCACATCCACGAGCACTTCCAAAGGTTCCCCCACAGCTTCGCTTAGATGCCCCCAGCAGGGAACTCCACCAGAGAACTGGAATGGTGGGTAGTAACATTTTTTGTGTTACTTCGGCCACCCCGCCTCCCTCACATCCCTTTAATCTTGGCTGCGCCTACAACTCCCAGAACGCAGCGCGGGGTGGAGGCGGAACCAGCTGGCCGAGCCGAGGTCTGCGATTGGTTATGAGTGCTGGGCCAATTGGAGGAGTCGGTGTTAGGAGGCCCAGGAGACCCGGTCCGGGAGGGAGGAAGGTGGCAAGATGGTGTTGGAAAGCACTATGGTTTGGTGAGTAACAACTTAGGGGCTTCGTGAGGGGCGGGGCTGGGTCGGGGCGCGCGGAGGCCGGGTGGGCCGGGGGCAGGGCCGGGGGGCTGGTGGGCGAGACGCGCGCGTGGGCCGGGAGGGCAGGAGCTTTCGACTCCCTGAGTCATCCCGGGCCCCGGGAAGGAGGACGGGCCCGGGGACCCTGTGCTGACCCGCACCCCGCGGCGGCCACTGACCCGCCGGTCCCCGCGGCCTCTCCCTATCCCAGCGTCGCCGTCTCCAGACCAGCCCCTGGTCTGTCTGTGGTCAGAGCCATGCTCCTCAGACTCGTCGTGCTGGTCATCTGCCCTCCTCTCCCCTCCTGCACAGCAGATGTGAGGAAGGGCTGTGTGATCGGTCCCTTCCCGGCCCGGCCCCGCGTCTGCACCTGTGACCTCCCGTGTCTTCTCCAGAGGGGCCGTTTACGGTGCTCTCTATGTGGCGGGCATTCACGGACTTGCTCTCCCTTCAGCCGCGCAGCACTGAGTTACAGGCGAGGGTACTCAGCCTCAGCACTTTTGAATGACTTGCCCACAGTCACGCAGCTAACTTAGTGGTGCGGCCAAGATCTAAAGGTGAGCCAGCCCCAGACTTGGGCCGAGTATGTGTTGAGTTGGATTAGAAGCCGAGGACACACTTTTGCAAGGTTTCAAGAGTTCCTTCTACGGGTGAGCCTAGAACTGTAATACAGAATAGTACGTAAACACACACATCGTCAGTTGGGGGAGACAGGGGTTTTCTTTTGGGGGAGAGGATAGCATTGCCAGATAAAATATAGGATGCCCAGTTAAATTTGAATTTCAGATCAGTAACACTTTTCAATAGTTTTTTAAAAAGTGGATGTGAGTATGTGCCAGATATTGCATGAGACATACTTATACCGAAAAGTTATTTGCTGTTTATCTGAAATTCAGATTGAGCTGGGAGTTGTGTCTTTTTGTTTGCTAAACCTGGCAGCCTCTGGGAGAGAGCATGTGTAAAGGGGACAGGATTTGGAATCCAAAAACCTGTGCCAGTTTTTTGTTATTTACAAGCTGCGTGTTCTTGAGAATGTAGTAAATCTGCCTATAAAATGGGGATCATAGAGCACAGTTAGGTAAAATGTATGTGATGGTTTTCTGTAAAAAGTATAGCACTGGTGCTTGGTGAGCACCTAAGAAAGAGGGACCTTGAAGGGACTTAGGTAAATGTTGGGAAGAAGAGGGGGGAAGGGCATAAAGCTGCTGAGAGGTAAATGCCCCAGGCATAGAAGGGATTAGGAAACTGACTAGTGTGGCTTCTTATCAGATTGTTGGTGTGAGGGCGGGCCTTTTCGTTTTGAAAGGTAGATGGGCCCAGGTAGAAGACCCCACATGTCACATTGAGGGTGGTTGGACTCTGTCCTGTACCCTTCAATAGAGGACTGTTGAAAAAGTTCGGAGGACGGCGGAGGCAGAGAAGTACACACAATGGCATTTCATAATGACCCGGCTTGGTACAGGAGGAAAGTTTGGCTTATTGGTGGCCTATTGGAATAGCTCAGGCACAGAATAATGATGAGAGCCACCCCTTCTCTCCCTTTTTTTTTTTTTTTTTTTTTTTTTTTTTTTTTTTTTTGGTGGGCCCTCATGCTTTGCTTTCTCAGAATTCTCAGGAGGAGTTTATTAAAAATTGCTACTGTTTGACTCTACTCTCAATCTGCTGAGTCAGACCTCCCAGCCAGTGAAGTCTAGGCATGTGTATTTTTTTTTTTTAATGAAGACTTTTATGGAATAGCTGGATAATACTATTTTGAGATGAATTTTTGATGGGAAAAAATTACACACTGTTGAGCAAAAGTCGTCACAAAAAGCACATATATTATCCCATTTGTATAAAGTTCAAAATTGGGAAAACTAAGCAATGTGATTTTTTGGATGCATAGCTAGATGTTAAGGCATCCATGTTGTTAACACCACCACCACTGCCATCACCCTCCCAGGGGTCCTGATACACAAAGAAGTGTGAGAACTACTGCTATGTTCTTCACTGTCTCTCAAGCGCCCTTTTCTCATTTTGACGCCTTTCTTCCAGCTTTCATCCATTTGTGGGTCTTGCCCACAATCCTTATACTTAGTAACTATTCCATCTGGATGATCCTCAAAGCCTTCATTGTTTTTTTTATTTGGACTCATCACTGTACTTTAAGCTAGAGAGGCAATTACTTCCCTGTTGGGGGAATAACCAGAAACAGTGTATTGGGGGAAAAGGAATAATAATGCATGGTCAGGAGGGTCAGCCCTCGATGCCCTTTATATAGATTGAGTTTCCAGTATAAGAATGAGTCTGTGTTTCATGCTTACTGTTAGGTATTGCGCTAAGTACTTGCCATGCATTTAATCCTCAGAGCAGTCCTATAGGGTTGGTACAATAAAACCCATTTTATACATGAAATAAGTGGACCTTAGAGAAATTAAGTAACTTCAGGATCATAGAATTAGCAAGTAGCAGAAGGGGGATTTGAACCTGTGCCTGAAGAACACTGACTGCCCTTTACTTCTGTTCCACTTACCTTCCAGTAGCTACTTAATGACCTCTCTTCATCATTTTTGGTTTGTATATGTTGCCAGGCAAAGGATACCAAAGAAGAAAATTGCCTTATCCGTATTTTGCTCAGCAATAGAAATGAGGTGTCTTATCTAGGACACGGCTTTATTCATTAACACAGATGGGATTGTTGATAGAGTTATTTTGTTTTTAATTTTACTGATTTCAGAGAGGAAGGAAGAGGGAGAGAGAGAGATAGAAACATCAATGATGAGAATCACTGATCAGCTGCCTCCTGCACACCCCACACTGGGGATTGAGCCCACAACCCAGGCATATGATCCTACTGGGAATCGAACCGTGATCTGCTGGTTTGTAGTTCGATGCTCAACCACTGAGCTACTCCAGTTGGGCTATTGTTAGAATTTTAAGAATTGATTCTGTTCTGGGGCTTGTATAACTGCTTCCCTTATCTGCCTTCTTTTGGTCTCTGGGAAGCTGGAGTTTGTAGTCATATGATCTGGATTCTGGTAGTTTATGAAAAGTTGTGGGGATAGGAGAGGTAAGACTCCAAATTCATGAAACCTCATTTTTGCAGTTCAGTCCAGGAGTTACATACACATTTAATCAGATGACTACATTGTACTTTCCTGCATTCAGTGCTGCCAAGTGTGTTATTTTATACGTATTTTTAAGTTGCCTTCTTCATTTCTTACCATTAAAATGGAATACTCCCATTTTAATGGCAGACTTAGAATATTCATCCTTGACAATATTTAATAACACGTGCACCTTATAGAAAGACGGTTGTGATATATCAGTAGATTGCAACCTTTGATGCTTATCAAAATCACTGTGGAATAGAGATTTAAGTTTTTTTTCTTCCTTTGGTCATTTTGAGTTGGTAAGTTTGAGTTCGGGCCAGGTCATCTATATATTAAAAGAAAGAGCTGGAGGTGATTTTGAGTTCCACAAAGACAGAGAGCTACTCTTAGACCCCCCCACAATTCCTCTCACAGGTCCCTGAAACTGGAGAGGATGCCTGGGGTCCTATACAATGTCTTTTCTCTCCTTCACTCCTAATCGGTAGCGTGGACAACAGCGAGTATATGCGGAATGGGGACTTCTTACCTACCCGGCTGCAGGCCCAACAGGACGCTGTCAACATAGTCTGTCACTCCAAGACCCGTAGCAACCCTGAGAACAACGTGGGCCTCATCACACTGGCCAAGTACGTGGGACAGAGGAGGAGGGGGCTTGGCAGGTGGGTGGGGGTTTCCCACATGTCACCCACTGTGGTGTCCAGGTTGCTACCCTTTGGTAGATTTCGTGAGGCTTTTTTTGCCCATCACCTTCCTAGACTACCTTCTTCACTGTTTAGTGTAAATATAAATAGTAACTTGGTTTTATTTTATTTATTTATTTATTTATTTTATTGCTTAAAGTATTACAAAGGGTATTACATATGTCTCCTTTTTTCCCCCGCCCTTGACAATCCCCTGGCCTCCCCTACCCCCCAGTGTCTTATACTTGGTTTTATATTAACCTGAATTTAATACAGTTATGAAGCTCAATCTCCTGGGGTAAAATTTCACAGTGTTTTTAAAGTCTGTGAAAAGTGATTTGGGGTCAGAGTCCTGTTACGTCCAAAGTGATTTGCTTGAGGAATTGATAATCCGCAAATGAGTAACCACTCATCCCAGTGTGCATATTGTTCGCGGGAAAATGAGTCTGGAAATGGAGACGGTGGGAGAGAATCATAGTAGCATCCAACAGTTGTGGAGGGGTCTCAGCCCTGCCAGCAAGGTAGCCTGAGAGAAGTAAGGGGGAAGCACTGGAAGGGAGAGAGCAGGTTTTTACAAAATCAACCACTTATTTTCTGTGCCTCACATCTACTGAGCACTGGCCCCTCCCCCCCCCCCACCCCGTTTGATTGAGGTATAATTGATATGTACCATTGTATAAGGTTAGGGTATACCACATAATGACTTGATAAATGTATATATAGTTGATCCTTGAACAATATGGATTTGAACTCCCTGGGTCCACTGAGAGACAGATTTTTACAAAATAAATATACAGTTGGCTTTTCATATCCCCAGGATTTTTATCCACTGACTCAGCCAGTTGAGGATCAAAACCAGTATTTTTTATCTTAGTTGGAGGTTTCAACTGTATGCACTGTTCTACGCTATTTTTAAAAAATATATATTTTATTGATTTCAGAGAGGAAGGGAGAGTGAGAGAAAGAGAGAAACATCAGTGATGAGAGAGAATCATTGATCGGCTGCCTCCTGTACGTCCCCCACTGGGGATCGAGCCCGCCCTTGACCAGAATCGAACCCGGGACTCTTCAGTCCACAGGCTGATGCTCTATCCACTGAGCCAAATCAGCTAGGGCTTCTATGCTATTTTTTATAAGGGACTTGAGCATCTGCAGATATTGGTATCTGTGGGGTGTCCTGGAACTAATCCCCCATGGATACTGAGGGATTAGTTACGTTTTGGGGGAGTCAGGAGTTATACATGGATTTTTCACTGTGCCACTCGTTGTTGAAGGGTTAACTGTAAGGGTTAACAATAAGATAACATCCACATCTCATATAATTATAACTTGTTATTCCTTGCATTGACAACTTTTAGATGTTAAAGAATAGTAGAGATTATAGTTATTGTCAAGTTCTCTAAAGAAAAGATAAGTCAAACATAGTTTAGAGACACTTGTTTTGACCTGAAATCATGGAAATGCTTTCCCCATATTCCAGTGACTGTGAAGTACTGACCACACTCACCCCTGACACCGGCCGCATCCTGTCCAAGCTTCATACTGTCCAGCCCAAGGGCAAGATCACCTTCTGCACTGGCATCCGAGTGGCCCATGTGAGTCCTGGATCCCTTTGATGGTTCCTCCTTGCTCTGAGGTTCTGCCCACAACGTTGTTCACTTCTCCCCTGGAATCTTGAGCCAGACCAGAGCAAGGGAAGAGAGATGGCCTAGAGAAGGAGTAGGAAGGATATGGTGGGATGAATGACAAGAATGGGAGAGTGAAGGAAAGGGGTTAGACCTTGTGTGAGCATGATGGTAGACTTGAGGTACGTAGAAACCATAAGAAAACAACAACTGAGTGACAGAGGAAAGCTCAGTGATTGCTCAGGCTGACTGAGAACTTCCTCTTCCTTTACAAGTTGGCTTTGAAGCACCGACAGGGCAAGAATCACAAGATGCGCATCATTGCCTTTGTGGGGAGCCCCGTGGAGGACAACGAGAAGGATGTGAGTCCCCGTGGCAGCTGGGGATTCGGGCGGGAAGTACCTGGAATGGGTCTTTCAGCCTTAGGTGAGCCTGGCAGGGGCAGTGGGTTCATCACTTTGGGGAAAGGTGGATGTGCAGAATGTAGTGTTTCTACTGGGGGACCTTGGGGAGGTCAGCAGTGTTCTGTGTGCCTTTGTGAGGTGTGTCACTTGCCCTCATGGTGTCGGACGGATTTCCTCATGTATCTCCCCTTCTTCCCAGCTGGTGAAACTGGCGAAACGCCTCAAGAAGGAGAAAGTAAATGTTGACATTATCAATTTTGGGGAAGAGGTGAGTAAGGACTAGCTGGGGGGCATTGACTTGATTTGGTTATAGCCTGAGAAGAGTCCTTCCCCAGAGGGGCCTGTGCTGTGGAGAGTAGCTGCAGACGAGGACTGAGATGGCAGAGAATGGGGAGCGAGCGGGGCAGCAAGGAGAGTCTCCGTGTTCTTTCCTCCCCAGGAAGTGAACACGGAAAAGCTGACAGCCTTTGTGAACACGTTGAATGGCAAAGATGGAACTGGATCCCATCTGGTGACAGTGCCTCCTGGGCCCAGCCTCGCCGATGCCCTCATCAGTTCTCCGATTCTGGCTGGTGAAGGCGGTGCCATGCTGGGTCTTGGTGCCAGTGACTTTGAATTTGGAGTGGATCCCAGTGCTGATCCTGAGCTGGCCCTGGTGAGCAAACGTTGACCTCAGGTAGAGCCCAAGGGTCCTCCTTGGACCTCTACTGACACACCCACACGCCACACAGCTCCTGTAGGGCTAGCAGTCCTACACACCCCGCTCATTTCCCAGGCCCCCCTTTGTCCCTCTGCTGCAGAACTGCATCTGATCTCTAAGGGCAACAGTGTTGGACTCTTGTTCGCTTCTCCTGATCAAACCCCAGGCTTCTCCCAGGTCCTTTTTTCCTGTATCACCTCTCCGGCTTTTCCATATGCGTAAACCAGAAGGTGCCCCTTGTGCTCCTTTGCACCCCTCAGCTGACGTCCCCACAAGTGAGGGAGGGTGGGAGAACATCTGACCTTGCCCTGTCCTCCGCCAGGCCCTTCGAGTTTCTATGGAAGAGCAGCGGCAGCGGCAGGAGGAGGAGGCCCGTCGGGCAGCCGCAGCCTCCGCTGCTGAGGCTGGGATTGCTTCGACTGGGACTGAAGGTGAAAGAGGTGGAATCTGAAGTCCCGGGACTGCGGGGTGCTCCATGGGAGTGGGGGGTCGGGCAGTATGGGAATATGTGGGCGGAGGGAGTGCTTTGGGGTGGGTCTGTGTGGCATATGGCACCAGTTCCATCCTGCCACTGTCTTCCTTTCCCAGACTCGGACGACGCCCTGCTGAAAATGACCATCGGCCAGCAGGAGTTCAGCCGCACCGGGCTCCCTGACCTAAGCAGCATGACTGAGGAAGAGCAGATCGCTTATGCCATGCAGATGTCCCTGCAGGGCGCAGGTGAGCCAGGCCTGGGCGGTAGTTTTCGGACGGAGAGGTTGGGGTGGGAAATGGAACTGAACAGACTGGCCTCTTTTCCTCAGAGTTTGGCCAGGCAGAATCATCTGACATTGATGCCAGTTCAGCCATGGACACCTCTGAGCCCGCCAAGGTGAGCTCATCAAGCTTAACACCGCCACCCCCCACCCCCACCCCCCACCCCCACCCCCACCCGTGCTTAGATCCTTGGCTCTCTAGGCAACGGTTTCTCCTTTTGGGCTTATAGGTGGGCTCTTTGAGGAGCACACGGAAACAAACACGTGGATAAACATTTCTTGTGTGTAAACCTTGCTAAGGCATGCTAGTGGTCGGGGTTGGAGAGGGGTCCTAGTACTCTGTAATTTTCCTCCCCTGCTGGTGGGAGCAGGCTGGACAGTTCTCTAGGATGTCATCTTCCCAGGACAGTGAAAAGCAGGTCTAGGAAAAAGAAAAAGGAGGAGTGGGTGTGTGATAGCCGGAAACCTAAAAGTGATTGTGTGTTTTTACCCTTCGAGCTCAGGAAGCAAAGCTCTCAGGTTTCTCCTCTATTTGGCCGGTGACACGTGTTTGCATTCATACTATATAGATAGTAGGTGTTTTCCTGAATCTTCCTTCCTACCTTTGGCCAGAGGTGTCCCTCACCCCCAGACTGTGGAGAGAGGGGCGCAGGCAGCAGTGTGCTCCCCGCCACCCCGCCCCAGGCTGACACTGCCCTTTTTCAGGAGGAAGACGATTACGACGTGATGCAGGACCCTGAGTTCCTGCAGAGCGTCCTGGAGAACCTTCCAGGTGTGGACCCCAACAATGAGGCCATTCGAAATGCCATGGGCTCCCTGGCCTCCCAGGCCACCAAGGATGGCAAGAAGGAAAAGAAGGAGGAGGACAAGAAATGAGACTGGAGGGAAGGGTAGCTGAGTACCCGGGGGCTGCACTGGGTGGGTGGGATATAGGGCTAGATATGTTAACCAATCCAACTAAATAAAGCTTGGCAACTTTTTTTTTTTTTCTTCAAATAGTAGTTCTCTGAGTGTGAGAGAGAGGAGGACATGGCATGAAGGAGCGCGTTCCCTGTTGAGTTCTCAGTGTCTTCAATGTGGGGTCTCTAAATCCTGACTTACTCCCCTTCCCATCTCCGTCCATGACCGTGTCCTCACATTTCTCCTGCCCTGGGACTCTTTTACTTGCATTAAGAGAAGCTTTGCTGAGAGTCGCTGTGTTGGGCTCTAGGGCCACAGAGGTGAACAGAAAACGGTACTGGCCTTTGGGGACTCTGAGTCTAGGGCAGGGCTGGCGCATAAATGAGCGATTAGACACGTCTGCTATGTACCCAAAGCGGCGTGAGCAAGGCACTCTGGAGTCGGCAAGAAGAAAGGGCCAAACTCTGGCAGCCTCTGAAGGCTCCTGGAGGGAACATTTGAGCCCTCCAATGGTGAAACGATTTTCATCCTCGAGGAACAGATGGGGATGTTTCCAGTATGTGCTGATGGTGCGCAGGTGCTTCGGAGGAATTGAGTAGCTCAGGACTGCTTGGGTGAGTGGCAGCGGACAGAGTTGGAGAAGTAGGCAGCAGTGAACACCAAAGGTCAGCGGTCCTTCAGGCCTGACTTTCACAAAGGGGTCTGTGAAGCCCTGGAGCACCAAATGTAGAGGAAAGCTTTTTTGTGTGGGATAGAATGCAGAATTCACATTACCCCCACCCCCTTTATTTTATGAAAGAGGTAAATAATATTTGACACATGAAATGCTTCCGTATAAAGCATGAAACATAAAAACAAACTGAACATATCTGAAGCCACTCAAATTTAAGAGCTAGAATATTTCCTTGTCACATATCTATGCCTTTTTTTTTTTTAATCCTCACCCAAGGATATGCTTATTGATTTTAGAGAGGGAAGGAAGAGAGGAACAGATGTGAGAGAACATCGATTGGTTGCCTTCCATACATGCTCCAACAGGGAATTAAATCCGCAACCTTTTGATAGGCCGACGCTACAACCAACTGAGCCACACTGGCCAGGGCCCTCTGCCTTTATTTTTTGTTTTATTTTTTAATATATTTTTTACTGATTTCAGAGAGGGAGAGAGAGACATAGAAACATCAATGATGAGAGAGAATCATTGATGGGCTGCCTCCTGCATGCCCCACACTGGGAATTGAGCCCGCAACCAGGGCATGTGCCTTGACTGGGAATCGAACCATGAGCTCCTGGTTCATAGGTCAATATTCAACCACTGAGCCATGCCAGCTGGGCCCCTGTGCCACCTCTCCACATCCTCCTCAAAGATAACTATTAGCCTGAATTTTTATTTTTTCCTTTCAGTTTTCTTATACACATAGCTTCCTGACCAGAATATGTTCAGCTTTGCTTGTTTTTGAGCTTTATAAAAAATACTTTTATACTGTGAGACTTTTGGGACTTGGTCTTTTAACAACTGTTTTGTTTCTGGAGTTTCATCAAAGTTGTTGCTTCATTTTTCATGGTTGTATAGTATTCTGTGAATAGACTGCTGTCTTTATTTTCCTATTGATGGACATTTGCATTGCTGCCAGTTATATTTCTGTTATCAACAGGGTTACAGTGGGTTTTTTACATCTGTCCTGATGCACCTGTGCACAAGTTTCTTCAGGGCCCTTCACAGGGTGATGCCAAATGGTTCCTCAGAGTGGTTGTGTGAACTGCCCTTCTGCAGTGTAAGAATTCCTGTTCTCATTGTTTCCAGACCGTGATGTTGGTAGGACTTAACTTTCTGCCAGTCTAGTGAGGATAGGAGAACTCATTGAGGTCTTACTCTGTATTTCCCTGATTACTAATGAGATTGAGCTTGATCATCTTTTCATATATTTCTAAATAAGTCTTTGTATTTCCATTTTTTGTGAAATGTCTCTTCATATTTTTTGTCCCATTTTCCTTTTGGGTTGTCTATATATTGATGTTCTGAAGGAATGCTTTATTAAATCATTATTGGTTATATATGTTGTAAATATGTTCTCCCTATCTATGACTTGTCCTTTCACTTTTTTTTTATATATATATTTTATTGATTTTTTACAGAGAGGAAGGGAGAGGGATAGAGAGTTAGAAACATCGATGAGAGAGAAACATCGATCAGCTGCCTCCTGCACACCCCCTACTGGGGATGTGCCCACAACCAAGGTACATGCCCTTGACCGGAATCGAACCTGCGACCCTTCAGTCCGCAGGCTGATGCTCTATCCACTGAGCCAAACCGGTTACGGTGTCCTTTCACTTTTTAAAAAATTTTTTTAATTGATTTTTTTTTTTTTTTTTTTTTAGAGAGAGAGAAGGGGGTAAGAGAGGGAGAAAGAAACATTGATGTGAGAGAGAAACATCCATTGGCTGCCTCCTGCATGCACCCTGACTAGGGATCAAACCTAACCGAAACCTGCGTGTGTGCACTGATCAGGAATCGAACCCGCCACCTTTTGGTGTACGGGACGATGCTCCAACCAACTGATCCACATCAGCTAGGGCATCTTTCCACTTTTTAAAAGTTGTCCTTTATTTATTTATTTAATTTATTTTTTTGTTAATCCTCACCAGAGGATATTTGTTCCATTGCTTTTCAGAAAGAGTGGGAGGGATATAGGTAGAGGGGGAGAGAGAGAGATTGGTTGGTTGCCCCCTGCACACGCTCCCATGGGGGCCAGGGATCGAACCTGCAACCCAGGTATGTGTTCTTGACTGGGAATCAAACCCGGGACCCTTTGGTATGTGGGCTGGTGCTCTGACCACTGAACACACCGGCCAGGGCTGTTCCACTTATGTATGCATTCATTGGTTGCTTCTTATATGTGCCCTGACCAGGGAACAAACCCACCACCTTGGTGTGTCAGGGTGACACTCTAGCCAACTGAGATACCCAGCCAGGGCATCCTAGTGTTCATATCACTTAGGAAAAGGGTTTTAGGAGTTCTGTGCCAGGAACCAGGGGCAGAGACCAATATTTATTGTTTCTATTATCTCTCACTTTCACATAGAAATTTCTTTTTTTTCTTTTTTTTTTAAAATATATTTTATTGATTTTTTACAGAGTTCAATTTTTAAACATGGAAAACCATTTGTTATAGCACTGTTTATTGAGAAATCCCATCTTTCCCCAGTGATCTGAGCTATTCTGCCTGGGCCAAGATTCCGTGAATTTCTTTTCCAATATCCCAAAGTCAGACCTTAAAGCCTGAATATAAATATGGTTCCACAAAATGAAGCTAGAAAACTTATTTTGTGCTTACATTATGTGGATGAGTTCCATTTCGACACTATATTTGTGTCTAAATTTAGGGGGAGACTAATCAAATATTACTTAAAAGAAGCAGCCCTTCTAGGGCTTAGAAATCTTTTTCAGCTGTTGGTTATAAAGGGAATGGTCACTTCAGCTTTCCTGGGCCTGGGTGTGGTTCTCCAAGCAAAATCATGTTCTGGCAGAGCCTGCCCATCAAGTAATGACAGGACCTGTGTCCCAGTCCTCTGGTCCTCTGCATGCCAACTGGGTGACTTCAGTGTTCACGAGGATGACTCAGCCACTGCCGTGGCCTCTTCCAATTGACAGGTCATCATCACAGTTCATTCTCTTATACTTGCAACTACACCCTGGATCCTGTCCATCTTAAGAAATGCTCCCTACTGAAGTCAAATACTTGGTCCATTGACCCCTATCCTTAGCTCTCCCTGTACTTGCAACAGTCCTGTGAAGACACGTGTGTATAGTCATGTACCATATAATGATGTTTTTGTCAATGACAGACCACACATGCCGTAGCAGTCCCATAAGATTTTAAAGGAGCTGGAAAACTCCAAATGCCTAGTGACATCATAGCCCAGTGATGGCGAACCTATGACCCGCGTGTCAGAGGTGACATGCGAACTCATTTTTTTTGGTTGATTTTTCGTTGTTAAATGGCATTTAAATATATAAAATAAATATCAAAAATATAAGTCTTTGTTTTACTATGGTTGCAAATATCAAAAAATGTCTATATGTGACACGGCACCAGAGTTAAGTTAGGGTTTTTCAAAATGCTGACACGCCGAGCTCAAAAGGTTCGCCATCCCTGTCATAGCCTCTGATGTAGTCATTGTCATGTAGTGCAACGACTTACATGTTTGTGGTGCTGCTGGTGTAAACAACCGTACTGCGCTGCCAGTCGTATAAAAGTGTATCACATAATTAAGTGAAGCACATAGTACTTGATAATCATAATAAACAACTATTACTGGTTTAGGTATTTAAATGTTCTTCCAAAATAAATTTAATAAGTACACTACACTGTACTTTTGTTATTTTATTTATTTATTTACTTTAATATATTTTATTGGTTTTTTTACAGAGAGGAAGGGAGAGGGGTAGGGAGTTAGAAACATCGATGAGAGAGAAACACCGATCAGCTGCCTCCTGCACACTCCATGCTGGGTATGTGCCTGCAACCAAGGTACATGCCCTTGACCGGAATAAAACCTGGGACCCTTGAGTCCACAGGCCGATGCTCTATCCACTGAGCCAAACCGGTTAGGGCTACTTTTGTTATTTTAGAATGAATTCTTTATATTTACAAAAAAAGTTTGCGCCCTAGCTGGTTTGGCTCAGTGGATAGATCGTTGCCCTGTGGACTGAAGGGTCCCGGGTTTGATTCTGATCAGGGGCACATACCCAGGTTGTGGGCTTGATCCCCAGTGGGATTGAGCAGCCGATCAATGATTCTCATCATTGATTTTTCTATCTCCCTCTCCCTTCCTCTCTGAAATCAATAAAAATATATTAAAAAAAAAACTTTCAATGTTAAAAAAATTTTTTCTGTAAAACTGTGCCATATTACACCAGCAGCAGCCTCATACATCTCGTGGTTACCATGTCTCTTGACTGCATCATTTTCTCTTGTGCATAATTTAATTTTGTATTGTTTTGTACAGTAAAATGCCATACAGGCTTGTAGCCTAGGAGCAATAGCCAATGCCATGTAGTCTAGGTGTGTAGGAAGCTATACCATCTAGGTGTGTTTAAGTGCACTCTGATGTTCGCACGACGACAAAGTTGCCCAACAATGCATTTATCAGAATATATCCCCGTCGTTAAGCAGCACGTAACTGCTCTTTGGGAGGTTCCACTTTAGGAATTTAAATAATCAGAGAAGTGGCCAAGACTTATGTACAGGGTGTTGGAAAAATTGGAAATAACCTAATATAAAACAATTATGTTACATTAATATGGAAAAGTATATTCAATAAATTTATTTTGGAAGAACATTTAATGACATCAGATATATAATTTTAGCAAATGCTTATATAATATAAATGTGCCAGGGACTGTTATAAATTCTTTACTTGTTTTAAATCATTTAGTTTTCACAACAACCCTGTAGCTTTATTAGTCTTATTTTATAAATTATAAGGAGATATAGTTTATAAGGAAACTGAAACCCAGAGACTCTAGGTAACTTACTCTGTGATGATGGTTCTGAAGGTGTGGTCCATGAACCCCTAAGGGTCCCAAGACCCTTTCAGGAGGGTTGTAAGGTCAAAACCATTTTTATAATAATACTAGGATGTTATTTGCCTCTTGCACTATGTTAGCACTTGCATTGACACCAAAGCCATGGGGGTAGAACTGTTTGCACAAATCCAAGGCAATGATACCAAATTGTATTGGTAGTCATTGTATTCTTGACCCCCACATGTTCATGGATTAGGAAAAAAAATCGTGCTTCATCAAATTAAAAATTCCTGTTAATCAAAAGTGGGTAGAGCCCTGGCCAGTGGGGCTCAGTGGTTGGGTGCCATCCTGTCTACTGAAAGGTTGACTTTTATTTTTAAGTGCATCAGGTGCTGTTTCCTTTTTTTTAAAAAAAAAATATTTTTATTGATTTCAGAGAGGAAGGGAAAGGGAGAGATAGAAACATTAATGATGGGAGAGAATCATTGATTGGCTGCCTCCTGCACGCCCCCTACTGGGGATCGTTTGCCCTTGACTGGAGTCTGCAGGCAGACACTCTATCCACTGAGCCAAACTGGCTGGGGCAAAGATTGACGTTTTAATTCCCCATCAGGGCACATGCTTGGGTTTCGGGCTTGATCCCTGGTAGGGGGGCTTGCAGGAAGCAGCCAATCTGTGTTTTACTCTCACATCGATGTTCCTCTCTCCCTTTCTCTCAAAAAAAAATCAGTAAGCCTTAGCTGGTGTGGCTCAGTGGACAGAGTGTCAGCCTGCAGACTGACGGGTTCTGGGTTCGATTCCAGTCAAGGGCACATGCCCGGGTTGCGAGCTCTATCCCCAGTGGGGGGGAGGGGAAGTGCAGGAGGCAACTGATCAATAAAAGTATATTTTAAAAAATCAGTAAAAATGTGGGTAGGTAGTGAAAGTATGTCTCACTCTCATTTCCATCTTGTTCCTCTCCTTAAAAGGCCATCACCTTGACAGTTTCTCACTTATCCTTCTCAAAATATTATTTGCATTAAGAAGCATAGTTATTCTTTTATAATAACAAGTGGTAGTGTACCATACATACTGCTTTCATCTAGCCTACTTTAAATTTAATTTTTTAAATGGTTTACAAAATAATTTATATTGTTTTAAGATTCAAAGATTTTCCGCACTCTTGCTTCTACAGCTCCAATCCCTTTAGCTAATTCTTCCTGTATTTACTTCTTTGTTGCTAAATAATAAGCTTATATGGCTATTTGCTAATTTTTCAATTTTAGCCACTATATACACTTTTTACAATATAAGATTAGGACTTAGCTCTCTAAATACTCCACATGGAACACATCCTTCTTCCAAGAGTAGACTCTACTTTTTGGATAAATTAGTATTTATTTTATTTATAATTATGACTATATAATTTTGTTTGCAATGGAACTGAATGAGTATTATGATTAAATTTGCCTCCAAGGCACATTTTCCTCCGCTGGAATTTATCATTGCCCTGTTTTTGTTTTGTTTTGTTTTGTTTTGTTTTGATTCCCTCTGTCTGAAGTATAAACCTCCTCTCAAATTGTTGGAACACAGTAGGTAGCCTGTTGACCTCGTGTGATGGCCTTCAGCTCCAATCTGTACTGGTTGCAACTGGCCTGCAGCAAAATTGTCCTGGCCCTTCCCTGCACCTACATACAGGGAATCCCTTTGTTTCTCTTCTGTGTGGGTCCACTCTGTGGATCCTAGATACCATGTTTTGATTTTCCTTGGTTTCATGCTCTGTTTTAGTAGAATTCATGATCCAGTAGCTTCCTGAGGAAAAGAGCACAGAAGGTAAATTTCCTGTGTTTCACGCCTAAAAACACCTTATAGATATAAAATAATGTTCTTTAGAATTCTGAAGATTTTCTAGATTTTAAGGGTATTATTAAGAAATCCAATGCTACCCTGGCTGGTTTTGCTCAGTGGATAGAGCATCTGCCTGGGGACTGAAGGGTCCCAGGTTCGATTTTGGCCAAGGGCACATGCCTGGGTTGTGGGCTTGGTCCTCAGAAGGGGGTGTGCAGGAGGCCCTTTTAAAAAAAAAAAAAATCCAATGCCATTCTGAGTATGTAACTGAGTATCCATTGTATGCAACCTGTTTTTCTGACAGCCTTTGGAAATTCTTCTTCTTTTTAAAAATATATTTTTATTGATATCAGAGAGGAAGGGAGAGGGAGAGAGAGAGAGAGAAACATCAATGGTTAGGGAGAATCATTGATCTGTTGCCTCCTGCAGGCCCCTACTGGGATGGAGCCTGCAGCCCAGGCATGTGCCCTTGACCGGAATCAAAGTGGGGACCCTTCAACCTGCAGGCCAACACTCTATTCACTGAGCTAAACCAGCTAGGTCTAAAAATGTTTTTATTGATTTTAGAGAGAGACAGGGAAACATCAATTTGTTGTTCCAGTTATTTATACATTCATTGGTTGCTTCTCATATGTGCCCTGACCAGGGATTGAAGCTGCAACCTCGGAATATTGGGATGATGCTCCAATCAAATGAGCTACCCAGCCAGGGCCTGTTTTTCATATTTTTAGTTTACAAGAAGTTTTTGTTATTTTCTGAATGTTCCTATTTTTTTTTTAAAGCATCCTATTCTTGTATCATGAGAGCAATATCTTCTCTTATTTTTCAGAGGATATTAATTGCAATTTTGGGGACATTGTTGTCTTTATCTTTAGGCTTCTGTCTTTCATGTTTGAGACTGCCTTCAGCTTTCTTTGGATCCTTGGCTGTCTTCCTACTTAAGCATGAGACCCAAAAGGTCAGAAAGCTGGGTGGGTAGGGTCAGAGGCTGTCAGCGGTGTGCCTCAGTGTGGGGCAGGTGAGGGAGGGGCCAGTTTCTGTAAACTTTTTCGCCTGGGCCACTTATTATCCCCCCAAAGGAATTTTCCAATTCTCCTGTCCCTGCTTGCAGAGGACTAAGAATTTTTAATTTTTAAAATCTTTACAAGTTCTAAGATTCCAATTATTTTGTTCATTTTTGGTTTCCCTCTCCCTACTTTGTAAGTAGAATAGAAAATATTAAAACTTTAGGACTTAAACTCCCAGACCTATGACTTTCCATTTTTCAAAATAGCATCTCATTTGTCTACTCTTCTCTCTCTTTATCCTTGTACTTTTATGCTTTTTTATTTATTTCTTAACTGTCATGTTGATGTCCATGTTTAACTAGAAGCTCCTTGCCTCCTGAAGTCAGTTACCGCTACTTCATGAGGTGTGACAGGATGTGGAAAGAAAATTTTTCTGTTTTGGAGTCAGAGCTGAGTCCTCAGGAGAAAAGAACATGTAGGCTACCCCCCCACACCCCATCGTAAGGAAAGACTTTACTAGACAGACAAAAGGGCATAAATCTCCAATAATGAAGGTTCCTATCATCGTTGGCAGCCCATATAAGTTGGCAAGTTTACCGGGGATAGAGCCCACGACCTGGGCATGCCCCCTGCCCGGAACTGAACCAAATGCCTCCTGTGCACGGGAGGACTTCCATCCGCTGGGCAGCACGGCCGGCACAGAACCGCCTGTAAGGACCCCGCCCAGGCTGCCCGCGGCTGCGTGCGCACCGTCTGCGAGGCTCACCAGCCAGCTCGTGTGCGCGAGGTGGCACTCGGCTAGCAGACGAATTCTGAGTGAGTGCGGATTACAATGTCAAGGCAACTCTTTTTCCAACCACCTCTCCCCCTGCTCCCGCCTCTAGGGGGCGGGGCAACAAAGCGCGGGAAAATCGGCCTGGACTCCACCCTCATCCTTGCTGGGGGCAGGGAAAAAGAGATCTTAAATGGGAAATGGGTCTATCTATATCTATATGTATGTATACACACACACGCACACACACACACACATAAATATGTAATTCAGGGTGTCCCAACAAAATGCATGCATGCATGCACTGTAACAGCTGTTAGCTCAATTTTGAAAATGAAATGTATTCTGCCTTTATAATTATTGTGTATACATTTTGGGGGGGGGGACACTGTGTGTGTGTGTGTGTGTGTGTGTGTGCGCGCGCGCGTGTGTGTTTCGGAAGCCTACCAATGAGCCGCTTTAAGATCCCTTTGGAAACGGCCCAGGCCACGCCAGCACTCTAACGTCACCTCTTCCCCACTTCCGGTCTGCATGCCTGCCGCAGCTTCAGGTGCCGGTTCCTTCCACACTCCAACCCCTGCTCTGCTCCAAGCCCTCCCGCACTGGGGGGAGCTATGGGTGACGCAGCCAGCTAGGGCCGCGCGAGGACCCCATCCATCTGGCGATTTAGACAGTAGGAAAACCGCAGGAAAATAGTCAACCAGATGACGTAATGTTTTGGGTGACGTCCCATTCTCTCACTTCTGCATGACATGACTGACACTGGAGTTTAGCTGGAGAAAGCGCAAACGGACCTGCACATCCGGGTCCTTTCAGAGTCGAAGCGATTCTCCTCAAAGTATTCACCTAATCGAAGCCGAGAGTTCCTGAAATTTGTATAAGTGAACTGCAGGCTTTCGGGATCGCGGCCAATAGGGAGCGAGGGGGCGGAGATGCACCTGGAGAGTCACCGCCTCCAGTAGGAAAGCAGGGAATCAGAGCGGCTTCTTCCTAAACGACAGGTAGCGCGGCCAATCGCTTTTGAGATGCACAGATGGGGCAGGTGGCAGCACAACCAATGGCAAGAGGCACTGCGGAAGGACTAGGCTCCTTGCCCAATGAAGCTAGGAAGACCGTGCGGGTTTGTCCGGAGCGGCAGTACTTAAGGCCAACCCAGTGTGGGGCTGGGCGGGGCGCAGCGCTGAACGACGAGGGGATTGGCCAATGGCGAGTACGAAAGCCGGCCGCCCCGACCGGGAACGCCGAGGGAGCTGAGGAAGGGGGAGGCCGAACGGGAGAGAAGCAGGAAGTAGCGGCGGCGGCGGGGAGGGCTGCGGTGGCGGCGGCGGCGGCAGCGGCCGGAGCAGGGGAGGGACCGCCGGCGCTCAGCCCGCACTGGGAGCCTAACAAGTAAGCGCGCCGGGGGTGATACCCGCCCTAGGCCCCGCCCCCGGGGGGGCGGGTAAATGCCCCCGCCCCTCCCCCACTTGGTCAACTACCCCCTTCTCCGCGCCGTCCCCCCGGGGCTGCTTCTAGGGAAGGCCGGGACCCCGCTCTCCTTCTTGGGGGCGGATGGCGACCCCCCCAGCCTGTTGAAAGCACAGCCCCTTCGCCGGGTAAACGTGGAGGGCGGGCCGGGGTCTCCAAGTCCTGGGGCTCTCAGCTCAAGAGTCGTCCGAAGCGCGGCCTGGGGGCTGGGAGGCTGCGGGGTGTCGCGACCTAAATTGGGTCCGCGTCCAATGGCGGTGGCGAGGGAACCCACAGCCCGAACAAAGCCTGAACCCCAACCGGGGCGCGGGTTCACTGTCTGGGCCCGGCAGGAATCGG